ATTAAGGGCATTTTTTTTTGTACTGGGTATTGAACTCAGGGGCACTTAACCACTTAGCCACATCCCCAGCCCAATTTTGTATTTTATTTAAAAACAGTTTTTATATGCTCTCAATGAGTTGCTTATCACCTCACCTTTGCTGAGACTGACTTTGAACTCATGATCCTCCTGTCTCAGTCTCCTGAGCCTCTGGAATTACAGGCGTGCACCACCACACCCAGCATTAAGGACAATTTTGAAAGAGTAAACACTTCTGATTCAATATTAAGTTTTCAACTTTGTACTGTATTTTAATAATAAGTTAATTATAATACTTTTTTGGGGTACCAGGGATTGAACTCAGGGGCACTTAACAGCTGAACCACATCCCCAGCCCTATTTTTTTTTTTAAGACTACTAAATTGTTCTCATTTATTCATATATGTAAAATGCTTCATTCATCCTAAGTACCATTTTGGGCTGAGGCTACTAATCAAAATAAAATTCATGCAAATATATGTACATGATTTGCAGATGAGCCATGGCCTCCAGGTTTCTGGAAAGTTGCCAGTATTGTCCTTTTTTTTTTTTTTTTATTGGTTGTTCAAAACATTACAAAGCTCTTAACATATCATATTTCATACATTAGATTCAAGTGGGTTATGAACTCCCATTTTTACCCCAAATACAGATTGCAGAATCACATCGGTTACACATCCACATTTTTACATAATGCCATATTAGTAACTGTTGTATTCTGCTACCTTTCCTATCCTCTACTATCCCCCCTCCCCTCCCCTCCCATCTTCTCTCTCTACCCCATCTACTGTAATTCATTTCTCTCCTTGTTTTTTTCCCATTCCCCTCACAACCTCTTATATGTAATTTTGTGTAACAATGAGGGTCTCCCTCCATTACCATGCAATTTCCCTTTTCTCTCCCTTTGTATTTTTTTAGAGACAAGGTCTCACTGAGTTGCTTAGTGCCTTGCTTTTGCTGAAGCTGGCAACTCCTCCTGCCTCAGCTTCCTGAGCCACTATAGTACACTTTTAAATTTACAATAACACTTTATTTCTGGATTCTGGATTGCACAGGTAGAATTCCAAGGAATTTTCAAAACCTCATTATCTCAAACTTTGGGCCACCAAAAAGAAGGAAGATGATTCCATGGAATAAGAGGACTGTGCTAAGTGATATTCAAGTGAGAAAGTTACTCCCTCTTCATTCTTGTTCAATTCCTCTAACTGAATTAAGAAGAAAGTCGCAAGTTTGGTGCTAGGATATTATCAACACCATTGAAATTCTGGCTAGATTCCCTTTTAAACAATGAACAGAGTCTCAGGCTTAGAGCCTTTAGAGAGCAATGGTTTCTAGCTAGAAACTAACAATGTTTTGTTTTCATTATTTTTACCAACTGTATCTAACCTTCTGTTTATGGCAAATGCTACCTGCTTTTAATTCATAGTTATTTCAAGTTTCTTTTAAAGATAATTTTCATAATCACATTGATGTAAGGAAATGGTATATATGAAGTATGCAAATATGATTAAAATCTGGAAGATGATATAACAATGACTTAAGCTTCAGAAATAATTATTCTTTTGGATAACAAGTTCTTTCTAAATGTATGTCATTGGTTTAGCTATTGTGAAGGACAGAGTAGAATACTTAAAATATATATAAGAAAGTCAGAAGAGGAGGAAATTATTTCAAAATAAGGTAATTAATATATCCACAGAAAAGGCGGCATTTTTAGCTAGGACTTGAAAGACAGCTATAATTTAGATATGGTAAGAATTTTAAGAAAGCAAAATATAACAGTATAGGCATGATTGTTGGCACATTCCAAATCCTGGCTACATGCTCATAGATTGAAATGTACCATAAAATGGGTGCATACTATTGTATGTAAGTTTTTCCTCAATAAATTTGATACTATCTTTGATATAAACAATGAAATGTCACTGAGGTTTCAGGCTTAGAGAGCTTGGGAAGGAGGAGACAAATGCAATAAAGAGAAAAGGGAAATCACAACTTTGAATCAAAAGCATTTATTTTCATATAACAATTCTCAATTAAAGCTATTAGCAATTAGCTTTACAATAGAAAAATATTAGTCTTATAGTTCTACATATTAGTTTTATTTCAAGGAGAGAACTTACTGGATTTAAGACTTATCTATTAAAATTAAATGTTATTCCCACCCCTCCCCTTAAACAAATCTATACATTGATAGCACTAACCCATAATAAAGTTAACAAAGAATAGACAGAGTATCTACATGGGTCATATACTAATGATACCTAATATAGTTTAGAAAAATAATTTAAGATTGTATTCAACACTTGTATACTGTTTATATGCAATTTAGAAATAACTGACTCATGGGGCTAGGGATATAGCTCGGAAGTTAGAGTGCTTGCCTCACATGCACAAAGCTGTGGGTTCAATCCCCAGCACCACAAAAAAAAAAAAAGAAAAGAAAGAAAGAAAGGAATAACTGACTCACAATTTGTTTTAACCTTTCTTTGATGGCCTAAACTCTTGAAATTATGTAGGTATTAAATACTAAGTTTTAAGAATTCATAGCTAGAAAGAGAAATCATCATGATAAAAGTAATGTCACTATCGTCATTATCAACAAGTCTACTTGTTGGCACCTTAAAATGCCAATCTGAATAAAATCAATAAAACTATAAAAATGAAATTCAGAAAGTGAATTACAGTTAAAGAAAAGCATCAATAGACCAAAAAAGAAGATACTCTTTTGCCATAAAATAAAGCATTAAGACTCACAAGAGACATGTGTGCATACTTAATATTTTACCATGGAAAATATAATGATTTTGTTATAGCAATGAGTTGTAACTAGATCTTTATGCTCTACAAAGCTTAAATTGACAACAAAAAGGCATAATGCATGGAATTTTACAATTGATAGTGGATACAGTTCAAGTATAATGATTTTCAAATTGGTTTTCTATGTAATTATATTTTAAGAGATGTTAACATGTCAGTCATGAGAAAACAGGCTTTCTGCCAAGGTAAATTTAGGAAATGCTATAACCTTCTCCTGGAGATTATATACATGTAAGTATAGCAGTAAAAGTTTTTAGGAGTCTGCCTTTATAAGCAAATCGAAATTAAATTTAATCCAGTAAGTTCCCAAATCATTTGTTATGGAAAATTCTTCAGGAGAAAGAAGCCTAGTAATTGCTTTGTATTGTGTTCAGGGGAAACATCAGTTTGGAAAATCCTGGTCTTTCCAAATTCCCTTTAATATAAAAAACTGAAGCCTAGCATGTGCATGGCCATGGATTTGATTCCTAGCACATGCAACACACACACACACACACACACACACACACACACAGTCAAACAAAGAAAAAAAAAGAATGTCTACAATGGATTATAGTGATAAAAAGCATGAATTCCTGGGCTCCATCCTAGCACTTCCCACCCTCACCTAAAACAAACAAACAAACAAACCAACCAAGAAACAAAACCAACCAACAAACCCACAAAAACTAAGGCCTAGGGAAATCACACCTGGTTGACAGTATAATGAAGAACTTGAAGCTCATCTCTTCATCTTCAGACCAGAGATCTTTCCACTTCAACTACAAAATGGGACTCCTTTGACTGCACAGTCAATGTTAATTGATAGCATTAAATTTACATCTTATATTTTATCATCATGTTTTCTGATTTGTGTATTAACCAAGGTGTTTTTAATTCTTTCTTCAAAAGATTGGGTCCCTGGGTTGGGATTAGAGCTCAGTGGAAGAGTGCTTGCCTAGAATGTGAGGCACTGGGTTTGATTCTCAGCACCACATAAAACAAAATAAAGGTCCATCAACAAATAAAAATAAACTTTAAAAATATTTTTAAAAATTGGGTCCCTAATAATGAAGTCTGCCTGGGGATTAATTAATGCTTAGCAATTCTGAGGAGTGATTAGGCTTGTCTGAAAGCAATCACTAAAATAAGGCACTTGGACTACCTGTGGTTGTATTTGACAAAACTTTTGTGTTGGCCATGAAGCAGTGACTTAGTACATAAAATGCTGACATGTTATTCATAGAAGGCTATATTAATATTTACAAATAAAATTAAAATATAAGAATTTATGTCTGCATTATCAAAAGCCAACAACACCAAAACAAATTTCTTTCCTCAGTAGTTCAAGGCCTATGTTTTCTATATTTTGTTGTAAACCAAAATGTTTTTCATTGTTTTAACTACAGTCTCTAAATCAGGCTTTTTCAATCTTTATCTTTCTTTAACTCCATAGAACTCTAAGATAATGTAAGATTAATCAAAACACTACTCACTTAGCTTGAGAGAGAGAGAGAGAGAGAGAAAACAAACGAGAACACTTGTTCGGGCCCCATCAGGGTAGAAGAATGGAGGAAAAGGAACAAGTAACTATTGTTATGTTGCAACTTCAAAAGAGTTTGGAAATCAAAGGTGAATAATTGTTAACAACTTCCGTATGACTATTCCGGCTTCCTCTTAATAAACTTCTGTACTCCTTTCTAACCCCTTACGTGGGACCATTGACCATAACTGACATTCACCCTCCCTACTCAAAAAGAACCCACCAGACTAAGCAGACGACACGGTACCTCGACTCCACCAACAAAGAGGCTACTCCGCGCGCCTTTACAGCACAGGTGGGACCTCTTCCCCAGCCTTGCGCACTGCTTGACCCCAGCGCCAAGGCTTGGATCAGGTCACCCGAAGCCCCGGCCCCGCCTCCAGTCACCCCTGCCCTGGACCACCCTCATGCCTCCATCTGGCCCTAGCCCTTGGGTCCCTGCGCAGCTCGCGAATCCCCGGAAACCAGAGGGCGGCTGGCGGCGTCGCGGCTCCAAGCGGGACCGCGGCTACACCCGCGACGCCACAGTCAGACACAGCGGGGCATCCCTGTGGCTCCAGAACGAGCTGGGCCGAGGAGGCTGCTCGGGACAGGCAGCTAGCCAGCCTCGCGACCGCGCTGGGGGCGGGGACGCTGTTACCTGCCGTGGGTTCGGCCGCTCCCCGCCGGCGCCGCTCTCCTGGCAACCGCGACAGCGACACGAAGGCCCAGAGCCGAAGGGCCTAGTGACAGCTCCCAGTGTGCACTGCGCGCGCCCACGCCGGCGTTGACGTTGACGGCCCTTGATCCCGCCCCCGATCAATCCATGCCAGCTGACGCTAGTTGGTGCTACAGCGCCCTCCAGTGTATATTAATGAGAAGCGGTCACGGGGAGTGGACCAGGAAAGGGGTTTAGCAGGCATTTTTAAATCGCCTGGAAAAGTTCCAATTTGATGGAGAATTTGAATGGCTTGTAGGAATCGAAAACAGATTTTAATTATTATTTAAATAATTATTTAAGTAGATGTACAATTTTTGTTCTTTAATAATTTAAAGAATTATGAATATTTTATATGAATAACTTAAGGTCCCAAGAGGGCCAGTGTGAAGTTAGGAGACAAATATTGATGTCATTGGGCACGGAGTATAAAGCCCTTTCAATCATGTCAAAATATGTCAAGGCGGATTTCACCGTTTTGCCCAGACTATAGGGGAGAGAACAAAAGAAAGTTTTTACAAATGTGTGACTCTTTAAATAAAATATAACGATCTCTTTTTAAATTTTAATTTGTTATATATGACAGCAAATTGCATTATAACTCATATTACACATGCAGAGCAAAATTTTTCATATCTCTCGTTGTACACACGTAGTCACACCATTCGTGTCTTCATACATGTACTTAGTGTAATGATGTCTATCTCATTGCACCATCTTTCCTACCCCCATGCCCCTTCCCTATCCCTCCCCTTCCTTTGCCCTATCTTTAGTTCATCTAATCTTCCTATGTCCTCCCCACCCTTAAATCAGAGAAAACATTGGGCATTTGGTTTTTTGGGATTGGCAAACTTCACTTAGCATTATATTTTCCAATTCCATCCATTTACCTGCAAATACCATGATTTTATCCTCTTTTAATGCTGAATAATATTGCATTGTGTATATACACCAGTTTCTTTATCCATTCATCTATTGAAGGGCCTCTAGGTTGGTTCCATAGTTTAGCTATTGTGAATTGTGTTGCTATAAACATTGATGTGGCTGTGTCCCTATAGTATGCTGCTTTTAAATCCTTTGGGTATAGACCAAGGAGTAGGATAGCTGGGTCAAATGGTGGTTTTGTTACCGCTGTTGACCTGTGACGAGTCTTTGCTTCCCCAATGTTGAAGAATAACACCAGAGAAGCACACTGAGGCAAGGTCAGAGTGGAAATTAGAAATTTATTAAAGGACAGCAGAAAAGACTTCTCCCGGAGGAAGAAGGGGACCCAAGAGATGGAATCCGTGGAAGTTTCCCCTTTTTATAGTTCTTTCAGTGACTGAATGTAGGTGGGAAGGCCCGAGGGTGGGGCCCAGGTGAGCCAAAGAAGTAATCTGGTCAGGAAGGACTTCTGAGTCAGCATCTTCAAGTTTGCTGGGGGCTGTTTATTAACACTTCTTTGGGATGGGCTCTGGGCCTTGGACTTTTCCCAGACTTCATTAACATTCCAAGAGTTGTTCAACTTTTCCCAGAATTCATTCTAAACAGGGCCTCCATTTTGGATCTTACTCGATATTAGACCCGATTTACCTAACTACACTGACTACGTAACTTTAAATCTGGCTTCAGTTTCATTCCCAGTTTTCCAAGGGATCTCCATACTGTTTTCCATATTGGCTGCACCAATTTGCATTCCCACCAATAATGTATGAGTGTGCCTTTTCCCCCACATCCTCGCCAACACTTATTGTTGTTTGTATTATTAATAGCTGCCATTCTGACTGGAGTGAGATGAAATCTTAGAGTAATTTTGATTTGCATTTCTCTAACTTGCTAGAGATGTTGAACATTTTTTCATATATTTGTTGATTGAATGTATATCTTCTTTTGAAAAGTGTTCAGTTCCTTGGCCCATTTATTGATTGGGTTATTTGTGGTTTTGGTGTTAAAATTTTTGTGTTCTTTATATATCTAGAGATTAGTGCTCTATCTCATGTGCATATGTTAAAAATTTGTTCCTGGCGCTGGAGTTATGGCTCAGTGGTAGAGCGCTCCCCTAGCATGGGTGAGGCCCTGGGTTTGATCCTCAACACCACATAAAAATAAAATAAAGGTATTGTATCCAACTATAACTAAAACAAAATATTTAAAAACAAATTTGTTCCCAAATTGTAGTCTATTCACCTCACTGATTGTTTCTTTGGCTGGGAAGAAGCTTTTTAGTTTGAATCCATCCCATTTATTGATTCTTGATATTAATTCCTGTGCTATAGGAGTTTTATTAAGGAAGTCAGGGCCTAATCTCACATGATGGACATTTGGGCCTAGTCTTCTTCTATCAGGCCCAGAGTCTCTGGTTTAATTCCTAGTCTTGATCCACTTTGAGTTGAGTTTTGTGAATGGTGAGAGATAGGGGTTTAATTTCATTTTATTGCATATGGATATCCAATTTTCCCAGCACCATTTGTTGAATGTAACACTCTTTTAATCTAATAAAACATTAATTGTTAAGAACATGCTGTTCTAAAAAATATGCTGTTCTAAGAATGTTATCTATTTTGATATGTCAGTATTTATGACAGCCTTGGGGGTTAATGATGGAATAGTATATCAAGTGATCATCATCCATTAAATAGATGAAATAGTTGAAAACGAATAGAAAGTTTATTTTTTTTTACTAAATTTTACTAAGTTAATTTATTTTTACCAAGTTCCATGCATGATTTCAAATTATTCTGATGGAACAAGAATTTGTGCAGCAAATACCATAAAGTTTAAAACTCCAAAAACTGATTTTTGAAAAATTATCTTAATCCAGTATCTTTATAGATTTTAAGGATTTTTTTTTAAATTGATATGCTTCAAGTTTGGTGTGTAGTAATTATGACTTTGAAATGATAAAATGAAGCATCAATAAACAGAATTTTTTATACAAACCATCATTTTTTTCTTTTAAAATAAGTGTTCTTTGTTTTTAAAGAAGTCCTTTTGTAATTCTACTGTGATGTTATATTTTTACATTTCTGCATTATAAGTATGTATATTATAGAGATCCTTTAGCAAACTTTCAAAAATTATCTTGTAATGAAATTCTGATTTCTCTGAGTTAGTCTTTACTTTTGTAAAATAGTAGAAATGTGTTATCTGGAATTATTCCAGGTTATATGAATGATTGATCCTTTAATTTAAAATACTAGACTTGAATCACACTCTTTTATATAGGTAGCAGAAAACTTCCTTACATTTTGAAACTATTTCAATCTTGAAGCTATCCTGTTTAAACTGAGAAGAAATGCCAAGTTGATCTTTCACATTTTTGTTGTCTCAGAGGCTAACAAAAGACCCTATTTCTTATTGTCCCCTCCTGGGGACAGTGCCCACCTGATCGCTTCCGTCCATTATCTCATTTTTACCCAAACTAGCTAGAGTGTGCCCCACGACCCTCGATTTTTATAATCATTTTACAGGGAGGCTAACCAGGTGGCGCTTTTAGGAAGTGTAACCTGGCTCTGGCCATCAGTTTTCCCAGCGGGTTTGAGAATGTGCTGCGGGGGTGGGGCCCGCGACCTTAAGGTGGCGCACTCTCCGCCCGGCAGGCGGCGCTGTGGGCTGACAGAGGGCGCCAGCCGTGCGATCTGGTGCTGGAGCTGCCACTGTTGTCGCCTCCTCTATTTCAGCTGCACGTGCAACCGCTCCTGCCCCTGGTGGCCCGGGTTCGTGAGAACCCCCAGCTCAATCCAGGGCAGACCGGGCGCTGGCGATGGAAGTCAGTGCGGTGGAGACGCGTGTGTTCGTGGAGGTGCGGAGACGGCTGCAGAGCGCGCTGCTGATCGTGGGGTAAGGCCGGGCTGGGAGCGCTGATCCTGGGGTAAGACCCGGCTAGGCAGAGCCCAGCTCGCGCTCCTGCCGCCGGGTCCAGCGGCATTCTCCGCCTCCCTCTGAACCACGGATTTTGAGTTTCCTGTTTCTAGCTGTTCGCGCGTCGTGATTACTCAGAGTGAAGTACCACTCCCTCCCCGCGACTGACAGCCAGCGCATCTTTTGGGAGCGTTTTAGAAGTTCAGGGTTTCAGCGCCACACCAGATCTGCTGAAGCAAAACTTAGACTTCTAACAATATTCCCTGGATTCAAATGCATGTTGAAGTTTGAGGAAGAGTGACGTAAAACACCGTTGGCAGTATCAGGCGTTTCCAATAAAACCATAAAAAATGCCTGACTATCTTTATTCAGGATCATCCATGTAAAGATCAATTCCAATGTTGGGCTTCCTGTTTTGTAAATAACCTCGATTTGGGGATTTGGGGTTGTTTGTTTTCTCTCCCCAAACTGCTCAATACAGAGGAACTGATGGACACAATCAATAAACCCATGTTCAGTGAATGCCTAAAAGGGATTGCAGACTTCTTATTGGAGCTCATTGTCTTTTATTCGTATTCCAAGTTCCAATGAGAAGTCTGCAAACTTTTATTATTCACTGTATTGACAAGAATTTCTTGGGAAAAAAGTTCTCTTATTGTCAGCAATTTTAATGGTTTGTGGTCCTGTCGCCTACTTCCTTTTGACAGCTCTTTCAAATAGAATAAGTGAGAAGTTAAGATCCTGAAATCTTTTATTACACAGTGCCACAGCTAGATAGATGCTCAACTTTTCATCTTTTCTTTAAATCTGCCAAGATCTGGTGTGGAGATTTTGGATTTGGAATGAGAATTGACTTCAAATCCTAGCTTCCTTGAAAATAGGTTAAATTAATCTGACTTTCTTCATTTTTTATTTATTTATTTATTTTTTTTATTGGTTGTTCAAAACATTACAAAGCTCTTGACATATCATATACTTTCTTCAGTTTTAAAATGGGGGTATTAGTACTCTCTGGATTTTTCCCCTTCTTTCTTTCAAAAATCATGAGTTCTGGCTGGAGTGTAGCTCAGTAGAGTACTTGGTTAGCATGCTGGAGGCCTGAGTTCAGTCCCTAGCACTGCAAGAAAGATCTTTATTCTTGCTGAGTAGTTTTCCATCAAATGAATGGTCCACAAATCATTTATACATTCTATTGCTGGAAGTTTTGCTTGTTTCCAACATGTGCTTATTATGAGTACAGTTGCCATAACATTGTTTTCGACTTTTGATGGACATATATTTTCTCTTTTTTTTTTTTAAGAGAGAGAGAGAATTTTTTTAATATTTATTTTTTAGTTTTCGGTGGACACAACATCTTTATTTTATTTTTTTGTGGTGCTGAGGATCGAACCCAGCGGCCCGCGCATGAGCCACATCCCCAGCCCCATTATATTTTCATTTTCCGTGAGTCAATACCTTATAGTGAAATTGCTGAGTCATATGATACATGTGTGCACTTCTTTGTGAGAGACTTCTGAACAGTTCTCCAAAGTGATTATACCAGTTTACACACTCACCAGAGGGGAGCTTCAATTTTCTTCACATTCTTGCCTGCATTTAGTATCATCAGTCTTTTTGGTTTGAACCATTCTAGTGGGTATAAAGTAGCATCTCATGGTTTTAATCTGCATTTATCAGATGACTAATAACATTGAGCTCCTTTTCATATGCTTTTTGGCAATTCAAATATTTTCTTTTATAAATATCCTCTAGTTTTCTTGCATAATTGCATGTACTTTACTTTTTGAGCGTCTCTGATCTGAAATTCTCAGTTTGGAATTGTCTAATATCTGAAACTTTTCCATTTTAGTTGATTTTGAATGTTTGAATTAGGCATGCTCAACATGTGGTATTTTTTCTTTTTCTTTTTTTAAACAAAAGGTAAATTTATTGAAAGTGAAAGTGAAAGTAACATTTAAGTAAATTAGAGCTGAGTGTGCCCAACTTCAGGGAATGGCTCAAGGCTAACTTGGTATCTTTTGATAAACAGAAAAATTAATTTTAATGAAGTCTAGTTTATCACTTTTTTATATAACATTTTTGGTTTTTTGGTACTGAGCATTGAACCCAGGGGTGTTTTTCCTCTGAGCTACAGTCCTTTTTTATTTTGGGATAGGATCTCATTAAGTTGTTGAGGCTGCCCTTTGAAGGTGTGATCCTCCTGCTTCAGCCTCTTGAGTTGCTGGGATTATATGTGTACACCACTGTGTCTGGCTTCACTAGTATTTTGTAATAAAAAAAGTTTGCCTACCTTAAGTTTGTAGAGAGTTTTTTCTTAAGTTTTTTTTTTTTTTTTAATTGCTATTATTAGAGATGTGGTCATGCTGTGTTGCCAAGGCTGCCCTTGAATTCCAGGCCCAAGTGATCCTCTTGCCTTAGCTTCCCAAGTAGCTGAGACTATAGACTTGTGCGCCGCTATGTCTGGCCTACTTTTTAGAAGTTTTATAGTTTAACCTTTTGTGTTTTGATCTATGGATGATGAATTCATTTTTATTTTTTATTTGCCGTGAGTTGGATAGGGGTTAGTGTTTATTTTCTTCTAAATGAATATATCTTCTGTAGAATGGAATGGTGTTACATCACCATTAGTTAAGAAGACCATTATTTCTCTCATTGAAATAATTTAGTATCTTTATCAGAAATTAATTTACTATACTATTTGCAGAGTATGTCTTTTCATACCCTTTTCCTTTTTTTTTCTTTTGTACCAAGGATTAAACCCAAGAGTGCTTAACCACTGAGCCACATCCTCAGCCCTTTTTATTTTTTATTTTGAGATAGGGCCTCACTAAGTTTCTTAGAGTTGCTGAAGCTGGCATCAAACTTGTAATCCTTCTGTCTCAGCTCCTGAGCTGATGGGATTATAGGTGTGTGCCACCATGCCTGACTACCTTTTTACTTTTAACCTGTCTTTATATATATATATATATATATATATATATATATATATATATATATATATATTTTTAAATTGTTTTCAACTGTTTTTCAAAACAGTTGGGTGTTTTTTTCAAATCCATTTTGACAATCTCTGCATTTTAATTAGAATTCCCTGAACATTTATTGCTAATGTAAATATTGATATGATTGAGTATATTCTTATTCTTAATCTTTTTAAAAATTAATTAATTTTTTAAATTAGGTATATATGACAGCAGAATGCATTTTGATTCATTTGTACACAACTACAGCACAATTTTTCACTTCTCTGGTTGTACACGATGTAGCGTCGCACCATGTGTACAGTCATACATGTACCTAGAGTGATGATGTCCATCACATTCCATCTTTCCTGCCCCCTCCCCTTTGTCCTATCAAAGATCCTCCATTTTTCCCATGTCTCCCCATTATGGATCAGTATCCTCTTATAAGACAGAACATTTGGCCTTTGGTTTTTTGGGATTGGCTTACTTCGCTTACCGAAATATTCTCCAATTCTATCCATTTACCTGAAAATGCCATAATTTTATTCTCTTTTAATGCTGAGTAATATTCCATTGTGTATATACACTACAGTTTCCTTATCCATTCATCTATTGAATGGCATCTAGATTGCTTCCACAGTTTAGCTATTGTGAATTGAGCTGCTATTTACATTAATGTGGCTGCTTTACTATAGTATGTTGATTTTAAGTCCTTTGGGTACAGATCAAGGAGTGGGATAGCTGCATCAAATGGTGGTTTTGTTACAAGTTTTCTAAGGAATCTCCATACTGCTTTCCATATTGGCTGCACCAATTTGTAATCCCACCAGTAATGTATGAGTGAACCTTTTCCCCCACATCCTCGCCAACACTTATTGTTGCTTGTATTCTTGATAACTGCCATTCTGACTGGAGTGAGATCAAATCTTAGAGTAGTTTTGATTTGCATTTCTCTAATTACTAGAGGTGTTGAACATTTTTTCATATATTTGTGGATTGAATGTATATCTTCTTTTGAGAAGTATCTGTTCAGCTCCTTAGCCCATTTATTGATTGGGTGTTTTTTTTTTTTTTTTTGGTGTTAAGTTTTTTGAGTTCTTTATCCTGGAGATTAGTTCTCTATCTGATGTGCAAGTGGCAAAGATTTGCTCCCGAAATGTAGGCTCTCTCTTTACCTTATTGATTGCTTCTTTTGCTGAGAAGAAGCTTTTTAGTTTGAGTCCATCCCATTTATTAATTCTTGATTTTATTTCTTGCGCTTTAGGAGTCTTGTTAAGGAAGTTGGGGCCTACGCTGACGTGATGAAGATTTGGGCCTACTTTTTCCTCTATTAGACACAGGGTCTCTGGTCTAATTCCTAGGTCCTTGATCCACTTTGAGTTTTGTGCATGGTGAGAGATAGGGGTTTATTTTCATTTTGCTGCATATGGATTTCTTAGAGGTAAATAAGAACTCCCATACAACTTATCAAAATCTCTGAGACACTATGAAGGCAGTGCTAAAACAAAAGTTTATTGCTTTAAGCTCATTCATTGAAAAAGGAAAAAGTCAACAAATAAATGACCTGACATTACGTCTCAAAACTCTGGAAAAAGAAGAACAAACCAACCCCCCCCCCCCCAAAAAAAAAAATTGACAAAACAAAAAGCTGGTTCTTTGAATAAATAAATAAAATTGACAAACACTTAGCCACCCTGATGAAAAGAAGGAGGGAGAAAACTCAAGTTACTAAAATTTGTGATAAAAAAGGAAATACCATGACAGACACTGTTGAAATACAGAAGACAATTAGAAACTATTTTGAAAATCTATTCGCCAGTAAAATAGAAAATCTCAAAGACACCGGCAAGTTTCTGGAGGCATATGATCAACCAAAACTGAGTCAAGAGAACATACACATTTTAAACAGATCAATTTCCAGCAAGGAAATAGAAGACACCATCAAAAACTTACCAACCAAGAAAAGCCCAGGACCAGAGGTATTCACCACTGAGTTCTACCAGACCTTATTCCTAATCTTAAAAGAACAAATGCCTCTACCATTTCATCATTAAGTATGGTGAAATAGATTTTTGGTAGATCCTATTGGTAGATTGCATATTTTTCTATTCATTGCTTACTAGGGGTTTGATCAAGACCAGATATTGTATTTTTTCTCTAACAATTTTTTTGTATATATTGAGATAATAATCCCACCTTTTAATCTTTACATCTGTGTAATTACATTAATAAAATCCAGGTTAAACTATTTTGGCATTCTTGGGATAAACTTTGACCATTTTTTTTTCTAGTTGAAGTTGGGCATTTATTTATTTTTATGTAGTGCTGAGGATCCAACCCTGTGCCTCTACTGCTGAGCCACAACTCCAGCTCCCATTCATTTTTAATCTATAGATATTTATTGAGTTCCTACTCTGGTGCCCAAACTCAAATGCAAAGTGCTAGGGATATAGCTATAAACAGTAGCAACAGCAAAAACAACAATATTGGTTTTCATCAAGTTTACAGTTTAATAATGGCTGTTGAGAGAGGTGGGCAGAAAATTACAAATTAAATAAAATATAGACTAATATTGAGTAGGGAAAATACTTGGAAAAAGTACAGTAGAAAAAGAGATAAGGAGAAAAAAATTTACATCTTTTATTTCAAATGAGAAAGTAACATTTGAGTAATGAACTGAAAGGGCTGAGGCATGGAACTATGAGATACCTGGTGGGAGACTGTTGAAAGGTGCCCAGTTCAGAGAGATGTGGGTGGAGTGGGAAGGCATCTAAAGAAGGGTCTTACTTTAATGGGCAGGCAAACGTTTAACAACCTACTTTCCATGAAAACAAAACAAAAAAGTAAACAAAGATCTTGATTTGCAGCATTTGTTGATTCCTGTGGTGTAAATGCTTTCACCAGGATTGACCTACCAAAGTAAGGTCATCTGATTTGCAGAATTCCAGGAATTTTATCTACCTGGACTCCAGGGCTTGTAGGAGCTGAGTCTATCTTATCACTGTGTCTTACCGAACACTGAAAGGACTTGTACTCTTAGTGAAGTTATTAGATAGTTTTAAGCAAGGTGTGACAACTGAAAGTATCTAAGAGAACAATAAGAATGCCTCAAATATAAAGGAATTGTGTGGACAGTGTCACAAAAATTAGAATCTCTGATTATAGTATTTTCTTAAAGAAACACTCTGCAACCTGCAAAATTGGGAAATATGGTTTTATTTATTTATTCGCATTGAGGATTGAACCCAGGGACATTTTAAACCTGAACTACATCCCCAGTCCTTTTTTAAATTGAGACAGCTCTTGCTAAGGTTCTGAGACCGATCTTGAACTTGAATCCTCCTGCCTTAGCCTGGGTCACTGGGATTAGATGTGCCCCTATGCTCAGCTGGGAAGTATGTTACTACCATTTTATACTCAGGTCCCCATTTATGTTTTGCCAGTTTTCCATGTAATGTCTCTAATAGCAAAGGAATCCAGGTCAGAATATATATTGCATTTTCTTGGCATGATTCAGTCTGTTTCAATCTGAAAGAGTTACTCATTATCCTTGACTTTCATATCTTGACACTTTTGATAATTATAGCACACTTGTTTTATAGAATATCTCTCCATTTGAGTTTGTCTATTTTCTCAAGGTTAGATTCTGGTTATGCATCTTTGGCAGGTGTTGTATTTCAGAGTGATTTCTGTGTTCTTATCATCAAAATCAGATGACACATGATTCTGATTTGTTCTATTATTGGTTATGCCAACTTGGAGCACCTAAGCAAGGTGGTGTGTGCCAGGTTTCTCCCCCTGAGGTTACTTTTTTCCTTTTATAATAAAAAAGTATTAATTGGATAGATACAAGACTATGTTAATACTCTGTTCCTCATCAGATTTTAATTTTACTCATTTATTTACATCAATAAGAATAAATATGCCTGTTTTCTTCAGTGGGTTGCTTCTTTGCTTAAATTACAGCAGTTGTGGCTATAAGGGAGTCCCTTCAGGATGGTTTCTATGTCTTTTTGACATGTCCCTCTCTATCATTCTTTGATTTCTTTCTTACTTTGTTGTACTGCGAATAGTTTTAGCCTCATCTCATTCTTTTCCTGCTCCAGGACTGTAGTCATTTTTCAAAGAAATGCTCTTTCTTTCTTTTTAAAGTGGAAAATTACCTTTACAGACCAAGATCTGAGTTCTAAGTATGCTTATTACTATTGGGGTGTCATTTCCCCCAGTGTGTGTATGTGTGTGTGTGTGTGTGTGTGTGTGTGTGGGCGCGTGTGTGCGGCTTATATGTAATGTTTATTTCTGGATATACATACATAAATTTATGTTTATATTATTCTGCATACATCAAAAAACATGGCTTCACACAGATATTTCCAACTCTATTCCACAACTATAGGATCTGTTCTAGTTTTATTCCTTTTTCTCTTTGTATCTCTAATTTCCCACATTAAGAATACTTGCCCTTATTATCTCATGGTATTTATTTCCCTGGCCAGTCTCCCTGTGTAACTAGTCTTCTCCTGGCATGCTTTGCTGTTTTCCCTTTCCCTATTCATTGTAAATACCTCTTGGGCCCTCTTTTAGACTGAATGCTCTGTCCTCCCAAAATTCCAAAATTCATATGTTAAAGCACTAATTACTCAAAGTGATGGTGTTGGGGGTGGGGTTTGTGAAGTAATCAGGTTTCCAATGAGGTCATGAAGGTGGAGCTCTGTGATAAGATTAATGTCTTTATAGGAAGAGGAAGAGATATCAGAGTTATCTAGCTCACTCAGTCCATGGTACAGTCATCCTGCCAGATCTGAGTTCAGCACCCTCAGATCAAAAATAATTCATAAAGCAATTGCATCTGTACTGACATGTAAAGACTTTTTCCATTATTGTTACCTATACAATACAGTAAAACAACTATTTACATAGTATTTGCTTTGTATTAGATACTTTATTCTAGAGATGATTTAAAATATATAGGAAGATGTGTGCCGGTCATATGCAGATACTACATCATTTTATATAAGGGAATTAAGCATCAGAGGATTTTTGTATTTGTTGGTGGTTCTGGAATCAATCCCCATGGATAGTGAGGCAGGACTGTATTTCTTTATAACAGCCTGAGCCAAGTAGGCTCTGAAACCCCATGCTGTGCTCCCCTTCCATCTCCAGCCTAGATATCTTCCTTATCTGTCTTAGGGTTCAACTTCCACACCTAATATTTCTCCTGGTGTATTCTCTTTTCCCCATGCTTGGCTTCTCACATCCATGCCAGACTACTGTGCTTCCCTTATCCTTGCATTGATACCTACCTTGCTCAGTTTCATGTAATTGAATTTTTAAAGGGGAAGAAAAGTGGCAAGCCAGAGATGGAGTGGTGATTAGCCAACTTATGCACCCAGTGGTCTCCCTGGAGGGACCTGTAAATGTCAACAACTTCATCCAGTTTGGAAATCACTGAGGTAGCAAAATTGACACAGTGTATCTTTAGAGTAGTGGCTAGCAACTGTAGTCTTTGGGTTATATCTAACCTATATCCTGATTAGGTAAAAGCTATGAGCTAAGGATAGGCTTTGGATTGTTTTAAGGATTGTTTGAAAAAAAATACAGAATATGTAATAGAGACCATATATGACCCACAAAGCCTAAGATAGTTACTGTTTGACTGTTTATAGAAAGTTTTCTGATCCCTGCCTTTGAGAATCATTATTTCTTAAGTATATATTTTTTTTAAATTGAACTTTTAACTCAAGAGTTTGAGACTGTCTTACTTGTAAAAAAAACAAAACAAACCTCAGATTCTTGGTATTCTGTTTTCCCAAAGAAGTGCAAGATCCATATACATTGAAAAGGTACTAGCCATTAAGTAACCTTAAGACTTTGTAAGGGGCTGGGGATGTGGCTCAGGCGGTAGCGCGCTTGCCTGGCATGCGTGCGACCCGGGTTCGATCCTCAGCACCACGTACAGACAAAGATGTTGTGTCCGCCAAATACTAAAAAATAAATATTAAAAAAATTCTCTCTCTCTCTCCCTCTTTCTTTAAAAAAAAAAAAAAAAAAAAAAGACTTTGTAAGACAAATGAAGAAGCCTAACCAAGATTCACCCCTGAACACATGTTCTGCCCTCTGTTCTTAGGTAACTCTCAAACAGATGGAATGAGACATTAGGTGGATAGCTTGCCTTCTGCATTTAAGAAGAAGCCATGGGAGGTTGAGGATGTAGTTCAGTGGCAGAGGAGGTGCTTAGCATGAGCCAGGCTATGTGTTCAATCCTCAGGACCAAAAAAATAAATAAATTAAAAAATAACCATGGTTCTCTGCACCTCTGTTACAATGCGGAGCACATTTCAGCTTTATGGGAGGAGGTCATTTCCATATATGCCATCAGCGCTTTCTTTGTTATTTACAATTACTTCTGTATATGTCCTCTCCCCTTCTATGTTTTTCATTCCTGTTGGACAGGGACTGCATTTTACTTTTTGTCGCCGATACTGAGTATAGTAATTAGTGTTTATCATAAATTAAATTAGTCCTCTCATACCTGGGATTCACATGTCACTCTTTTTTCCATTCATTCTTAGTGTTCTTAAAATTGGACAGAAAGTTTTTGTTTTGTATCTATTGTTTCACTTAATCCTGCTCTCCTTATCAAAACTCTGTATATCAGTTAAGGTACAATGTGATTTTTAAGGCAGGTCTTCACAAGGATAAGAAATGTGTTTTGAGACTTTGAGCTTGCCATGATACTGAAGGGTACTCTCTGACCTGCGCAGACTCTAGTGTAGCTTGGTTTCCTTTAGGATCTGTTTGCTGCTTTTTTTCTGAGGCAATGATTTTAGGGTCTCTAGTGAAAAGGAACAGAGAGATGTTTATCCATTTTTGTTTCTTTTATTGTATGGTTTTCATCAAAGGAAAATAATTTGTTTGGGTTTTATTTTTAATTATCAGGGAGCCAAAAGAAGGAGGTATGCCCATGGATGTTTCCATAATGCCATCCTTGCTCCAGATGAAAACCCCCACAGGCTGCACAGAGGTTCGGCTCCCAGCAGAGGTCAGGCTTGTACCTTCTTCTTGCCGTGGACTGCAGTATGTCGCTGGAGATGGACTGCACCTTCGGCTGCAGGCACACACAGAATTCAGCACAAGTGAGTCGGTTACCACTTCCATTCTTCATTTACATTTTTGCTAGTAATCAAAGATATTTATTATTTAAGTTGAACTTTTCCCAGGTGAAGACTCCTTATCAGTGCCTGGAAGGGCTAGGAGAGAGAAGATCTGGGGTGTAAATAGCACTGCTATTTACTAGCTATGTGCAGTTGAACATGTCACTTAAACTTTCTGGGCTTTATTTATTTATTTTTAGTGTTTTACTTTCTAAAAATAGATTTTGTTTTTTAGAGCACTTTTAGGTTCACAGCAAAATCAAATGGAAGGTACAGAGTTTTCCCCTAGAATCCTTGTTTTTTTTTTTTTTCTCCTTTAACTAAAATTTCCTGGCTCACAGTGGGATGTGAAAATGAAATCAGATGGTAATTGTGCAAAACCTGGTTGATCTTAAAGCATTGTATGGAAATTCATTCAACATACAGCTTACCTCATACTCTGTGCAATGGGTTGCTCTAAGTGCTGAGGACGTGGTAATGAACAAGCTAGGGAAGGTCTCTACTCTCATGGAATTTAAATGCTAATGGGAGAGAATAGATACTGAACAAATAATTTATTGCATAGTGAGAAAAACATTATAGGTAAAGTAAAGCAAATAATGGAATAGGGGATGACTTAGGGTTAGCAGAGGGTAGGAAGTCAGGGAAGGCCACTTTCAGTAGGTGATGTTTGACCAGAGAACTGAATGATGAAAATTATCCCATCCATATAGAGACTGTTCCAAATTGAACAGCACATGAAAAGTTCCTAAAGTTGAATGTGATGCATAATTTGATTTTGATTGTCACTGTGACTTACAAACACAGTATTTTGTAACTCTATACAAAATTCAAATTACACTTTGATTCAGTAAGGACGTAGAAAAGTTTTCTTTATGTAAGTTCTCATTATTTATTGAAAAAATAATTGGTTTATTACATTTCTTAAAGTCTAAGTAGTATGCTTTGGAGGATTAAAATGATGTGAAAAGGGGAAACAGTAGAGTAAGTTTCACTCCTTTTTTGCCTAAGAGTAACTTTTGCTAAAGTTCTGGCTTAGCAAATAATAAATTTGATGGTAAGAGTTGGTTTTAAGAACAAGGGGCAGTGAAGAAAGATATCATGGAGCTGAAGTGGCTTAGGATAAACACTGAGAATGACAGTTGAAATAATCATGGAAAGGAAAATGAGGTGGAAAACTACACTAACAGACTCCCTGAGTGTACTTAACACCAGGTCAAGGTAGTACTGGTTTCCAGGAAGAGGCTGTGGGAGTCTATATCTTTGATGTCATCACCTTCTCCATTAGCAACAATAACCATAGCAGGAATTTTGTGTGGAGTCTGTGAGCTGGGGAAAGACAGGCAAGAAAGCCTCAGTGTTATCTAGGATTGTGGTTTTAGGGATGGAGGAATAGAGACCTGCAGGGAAATAGAATTGAGTTATTGCCCACCCATATTTTAAACTGTGAACATACAAATTGCAAAACTGAAATTAATTATAGGATGAAATAAATTGACTGCCATATGTTGGTTTGCGTATTGTTTGTGTTCATTGGTTTCCTATTTCTTTACGCTTATAAAACATTTTACTCAGGTATCTGAAAAGGAAAATTTCAAAGACCTGTTACATGGTGCATGAAAGGGTAAAGTAGATTCCTGGGCACTTAATTGCTTTAGTGCTTTCCAGATCATATGTAGGAAATAAATATTTGATGAATGAATAAATAAATATCAGGTATATACTTGATGATATGAACTTGAATCAGATTGTACTGTAGGAAGTGACTTGAAATTTTTAGCATTTGGTTGTTTCAGGGATTGTTAAAAATGCGCTTTTCATAAGAACACCCTATTCAGGACAACCACGATAGACATCATGCTGATACACTATTGTGAGCATAATATAGGTAGATTTGTGACCCAGCAATGGAACTGGCTACCTGGAATTTTCAACACCGCTGGTGTTGGATTCAGCCCCAGAAGCATTGCTCTCCCAGGATCCCTCTGTATTTAAAAGTTCTGGCTTTTAAACCTGACCCAGTGGCCAGCAGAGGGTAGTGTTTCCTTGAAAATTTGTTTATTGGTCTATAAAGAACATTTTGTATGTCTTACCTAGGTCTCCTTTTTTTTTCACCTTAGTGCTATAGGAATTTGTGTACCCTTACAAATTAAACTAGAGTTCTTAATTGCCAAGGTTTAAATTTTCTAGCATCAGTTTTTTGTTTTTTTTTTTTTTTTGGTCTTTAAAATATATACAAAGTAACCCAAACCAAATTCAACTTTCTTGCTTCTAATGGCTATGACCTCATTTCTTCAATCATGTTTTTATAGGCAAATATCTTAGTTTTTTTTAATGAAAAAAATTTTATTTTCTACAAATGGAATAACAGAAACTAAGGGAGCATGCTGCCTTGTGCTGCTGTTTCTCATATTGTGAAAAATACACATTTTCCCTATTACTTTCAACATTTTCTCACAGCTTTCATCAGAAATTGAATTTTGGTCTTGGAAGATTGGACTCTTCTTTGAAACTATAATGTTTCCAGGGACCTGCCCCAGAAAGACAAGTTTCAAGACATACATTTTGTTTGTATATCCTGGTAATGTGCCAGCATGGATATAAACCTTGTTAAACCCAGATTAAACATACATTTTAGGAGCTCTGTGTGCTAGCAGTCACACTGATGACAAACTACCTAAGGACAGCAGAGGAAAACTGAGCATAAGGAAGATCTGGTAGTTGGCTAGAGGTGAAGGAAGCAGGCCATCTTTACTTACCCCTGGTGCAGGTATTCATAGAATGAGAGCAGTAACTCATCCGTGTGTTATATGGGTAAATGCCTAGCTCTGAAACTCTTGGCAAATCTGTTGTTTTTGAAAACACTTCGCAGTGTTTGCTTCTAGTTGAGTCATCTGATAATACTAATTAAATGTGTATGTCTGCGTAGATCATAAACAGTGTGTATTGATGGTAATTTATTGTGACTAGTAAACCCTTTAAGTATGCTAATATATTTGTTCCAAATCTCTAAGACTCGCTATTTCATTGATTTTCTTTAGAACTGATTTCAATATTTAATCAAAGCTTACAAGCCCAAGAATGTTGTACATTTTATTGCCAGTCCTGCGGTGAAGTCATAATAAGGGACAGGTAAGGAATGCAATTAATACTGATTGATTCTGTGCCTGGGAATATTTTTTTTTCTTTTTTCCTTTTGCTATTATAATTTTTGAAGTTAATTACCGAGGGAGAAATGTATGCTCTTAAAATGAGAGCCAATGTAATGTCATTTTGAACAAAATCAACCACAGACCTTGCCAGCAATCACAGAATAGCAGGCTCTTCTCACGGAGATAAAGGGGAACCACAGGATGCTGGCTGAGGCAGGATGATTGGTCTTGGTAGAGGAGCCGGGACAGGTTCCTGAAGCACCTCTCTTCTGAAGAGATGTGGGGTCTATCTCATCTGTTTAGTCCCTCACAGTGATGAGTTAGGGTTTCGATGTGAATTTTTCTACCTCACAGAGCTTGTGAAGTAGGACTTTTGATCTGAGCGATGATTTCTTTCTGTGCCTTTCTAAAATCCATTTCCTATTTCCCCTGCTTATTAAAACAGAGCATACAGAGCACAAATTAACCTTTTCTCAGTGATTAGGTTAATCTTGTAACCCATTCTCCTTGTGATGTGCTGTGATTACCTTACTGAGACGGGAAGGGCTCTTTTGCTTTTTCCTTTGCATTCCCAGGTCGACTTTTAAAATTATTACTGTTATTTTTGTCTTCTGAGGTCCTCCCATCAGCCTTGTTTTTTCCTGTGCACAAATCCTTCCCCCTGAGCTTTCAGCTTCTCATCACTTATGATCTGGAAAGACAGATGAAAACCTATTTACTGTTTAAAAATACTTAAAGAAGTACCTTGGAATTCTTTGATGGGTTTCCTGAGTCAAGTGTCTTGAGACTTATGAGTGAATGGATCCTTCATATCTGAAACCTGCTCCTCTTCCAGTGCTCTGGTCTCAGTCATGTCAGCCTCTACCTGTGTCGTCAAGGTAGGAACCCTGTGGCATTGCATTGGGGTCTTCTTTCTTCCAGTGTAGTCATCAGCTACAGTGGCTACTTCCTTGGGAACCTCAATCCACTTTCCTCCACTCCACTGCCTTAGTCAGGGCCACTGTCTCCTCACCTAGTGACACCTGTTGCTAGCTTCTTATCTGCTAACCCTTCCTCTGCTTTTGCCCTCCTCTGACCCATTTCTGCACTATTGAGATTCTAAACTGCAACTGTCTTCCCTGTTCAGACCCTACCATGGTCCCCTATTTTTTTCCAGGATAAATTCCTTAAATCTTCAGCATGCCACATTAGTTCCTTTATGAGTTCACCTATGTTTACCTCTCGCCCTCACTTCAGCCCTCTTTCACCCTCCTTCCCAAAACACACCATTGTGTTTTGCTCAAATTCTGTGCACAGTTCTGGAGATCAGCATGCCATCCCATAGTTTCTTTATGCTTTTCTTCACCCTGGGGCCTTATGGAAGCTACTCCTTCTTCTGAATGTACCCATACCCTGTCACTCCCTGTTTAGCCCCTGCCTGTACTTCAGAATTCAACTGGCAGGGCCAGTTGAACTACGGGGAGTCTTCCTGAACCCTGGTTTGCTTTAGATGTTCATTTAAGGTTTATTTGCCCGTTTTTACAGTTAAACTCTAGGCTCTGGGGGCAGGCAGGGAGTGTCTTTTTGATTTTTGTATCCTTTATGCCACTTTTGAAAGTACAGTGTAGGCTAATGGCTAGCAGTACAGACTGAGAAGTTAGAATGAGTTGTATCTGACATTTATTAGCTGTGTGACCTTGGACAAGTTATTTAATCACTCCATGCCTTAAATTTCAATTTGAGAAAATGTAGATAACAATAGGCCTTACCTCATAGGGTTGTTGAGAGGATCAAATGATCATGTTTATAGCAATGTTTGGCACATTGTAAGCATTTATTATGTTAGCTACTGTGATAATTATTCTTATCATCATCATCATTCCTGGAATCAGGCACGGTGCCTGGTGAATAGTGTGCTCTTAATATAGTTTTGCTAGGTTGAATTGAATAAACCTTGGTGTGTTTATTTTGGTCTTCTACTAGCCTTTCTTGCTTGATTCCTGATTCCTGGCAGTATCCCAGGTAGATGAGAAGGCACAAAGTTACTCCTGTAGGAGAGGTTATAAATGGACTATCCTCAGAATGATTATCTTGAGTGAGAAATGAGATGGCTTCATATCTACTGAGGAGAGAGGAACATATTTGCTCAGATTACCTAAGGGTTGAAGTTGCCACAGAGTGCTTGCTTGGTGACAGGCCCACTTTATCCTGAAAGTCCAAGAGATCCCAGTTTACATTGTTGTTCAGCCACAAATGTTGCCCTCCTCTCAGTCCATTTCAGAATTTGGCCTAATTCTCATTTGAAATTTCTGAAACACTGACTTCTATATTAGGAGTTAACCTGGAAGTTACAGTTAACTTTAATGAATAAGTTAAATTCAGCATGACAATGTTTCCTGGTGCCACTTAGGGGCTATGGTTTGTTCATTATTGGCTAATATTTGTGCTTTACTGGAAAAGGAGGAGGATTTTGAAGATTCTCACCTACAGTGCCTGCTTTTCCTATCAGGAACTGTATTTTCTGTTTTGTTTAATCCTGTCTATAATCATGGAGTTGAGAACTAGAAGGGCATGGAGGCTAACAATGAAGGACAACACTCATTCTCCCTATCCCTGACTGCTGGGAAGCTGTGAGGGTAGAGGGGGAGCAGGAGAATAGAACCTGGATTTGAACTCCAACCTTACTACTTAGGTGCTGGGGGGCCTTGTTTGTATCGCCTCAGCACCTGCTAAAGCCCATTTCCCAAACTTGTCAGGAGAGTTAGGGAATGTAACATACACTGTAATAGGTGTATGGCAAGATTTTTTTCAATTGGTTTTAGAGACTCCTTCTACTCTCTTTTCTGACTTGCACACTAGCAAATTCTCTAGTTCAGTGTTTCAAACAGTTTTATTTCAGGACTCTCATTCATATAGTCCCTATGCATCAGAGAAATGAATCACCTTTTTGATTTTCTCTCTCTGAGAAGATAAACAGTAGACTTCACTCTCACTTCATTTAAGCAAGTCTTACCTGAAAGCCTTTTCATACCACATCTGTGAGCCTGGCCTGCATATGCCTCTTGAGCTGCACAGAGAAATCTTTAGTAAGTGACTTAAGTCTTTGCTTACATCTCACTCTCGGGCAGCATGCCCTGTGACTGTGTACAATGAAAGGCTATGCTTCTTCCAAGCTCTGCATAGAGATCTTGTGCTGACTATTGGTATCAACCAGGATGGTCTTCTCACTTTGGTTTGGTTACTTGTTTTATGTGAATGATAAGGACGATTCTTGTAGTCCTTAAATAAAAAACAGGCCAAAGTTTCTCCAAAAGAGTCTGTTTGTGTTATAATCAAAATCATATTATTGTAAATATCTTTCCCAGGAAGATACTATGGACTACGCTGACTGACTTGTAGTGGGTGTTCCTCTAGTAGGAGTAATGGGTAGAGTGAATATCTGCCACCAAGTCGTCTTTGTTTTTTGGCGAACATTGGTAACTTTTTATTCAAAGATTGTATATTGAATACAGAAATACAGAGACATCTTTCAGTGGGTTCTTAAGCAATATACAACAAAGCATGTACCTAGCTTTCTTATCTTAGAATTAAGGCACTTTAATTTTCTGGGCAGTCATTCTTCATTGTAAAATGAAGAAGTTGGATTAGATAAACTTGACAGAGTCCTATTGGCATGACATTTTCTCATTGATGATCCCATAAAGTTGTACTTTGGTTTCCTGTGAATCATGATGATTTAGATAGTGCAAGGCTAAAGTTGGTTCCTTTTTTTTTTTTTTTTAACTTGCTATCAAGCAAATTATGGAAATAAGATATAGGGACAATTTATTTTTTTTAATAGGGACAATTTAACCAAATAAGATTCATTAATGGCTTTTAACATTTAATGCATGAGCACATGAAATCTGCTAATGAATGACAATTTTTTTCTTTATTTAGGGTCATAAGCTCTGAGCTAATTTATTTTAGTTATTTGAAACTAATGCCTTTTTTAAAAAAATACAGTTCTCTAATTTATAAATAAGCCAAGTTTTTCTATATGTATAAGTTTGTCTAAAAAATGTATAGTTTTTGATTTTTCTCTTGTTAAAACTAAACAGTTCACAATATCAATCAATCATAATAAAATTACTTTGTGAATAGTCTAAGAAACAGTGAAGTGGTCATTGTGTTTGAAATTTGTTATGGTTTTTAGAAATAAATTCATGTCAGACTTGAATGACATTAGTTAACACAACAGATTTTCAGACCCAGCCCTTTTGATTGTCAGACCATTTTGAAAGGAGTATTCTCCTGAGGTCTCTGGAATAGTACAACCTTTCCACCTGTACCTGCACACTGGGTTTCAGTCCAACACTCATGAGGGCATTGAAACTCTAGGAGACCAGCAGAATGAGCTTTATGGAAGCAGGAGATGATGGATTTTCAAACTGCTTGGTTGGTCCTCTTAGCACACCAACTGTAATTGTAGCCTGAAAATAACTATTTCTGTGAGTGAAGTTACTTTTTTAGTGAATGAAAACAAAGCAATTAAAAAGTGCACAACTGGGGGTATAGCTTAGTGGCAAAGCATATGCTTAGCACAGAAGCCCCTGGGTTCGATCTCCTGCACTAAAAAAAAAAAAAAAAAAAGGCAGAGCCCAAACTGGATTATTGGCAACATTGTATAAGCTTTTGGAATAAAATTACTATACTTTTAAAATCTAATCATACTATATAATAATAGTGTTAAAATGTAAAGCTAGTTTTAGAGGATTCATGGCCTACTAGTTGGAGAATGTCACCTGAATTTATATAAATTCCAATAGCCATATTTTGAGTTTTAGATGTTTAATGTTATTTTTAAAAATTATATATATATATTTTTAGTTGTTGATGGACCTTTATTTTATTCATTTATTTGTATGTGGTGCTGAGAATTGAACCCAGATGCTAGACAAGCACTCTACCACTGAGCCACAAACCAGTCTTGATGTTATTCTTAAGACCCTTAATGTTCACTTGGTTTTAATCCATCTCTAAAAGCCCTGTTACTACTATTGTTATGATCACTAACTAATGACTGATTTTAAAGGTACAGGACATTTTATATATATATATAAATATATAAAATATAAAATAATATATATATAAAATATATATATTATAATAAAATATATATATATGCTTAAGTATCAAGTAAAACATCATTAATTAGTAGAATTTATTAAAATTGCATAAGTTATTTTCTAAAAGAATATGCTGATGATGCATTAAAATAACTAGCAAATTTTATTTTATTATGAACATATGTTGTTGATCTTAAGCTCAGAAAAAAATTAAGAAATCATTTCACTTTTTTTCTTAGCTCCAGATGTTTTTTTACCTAAACTACCTTGAAAAAAAAATGGTATCTATTTTATTTTGAAGGTTCTCTCAGGAAGTAGATCATATCAAAGTACATTTTTCAGGGTTTTGGATAGATATACTTTCAGTAGAGTTGTGATTAAAATACACCTTTTGTTCTTTAAGGTTTTATGACTTTTTTCAAAACATCAGAAAAATTTCTTTCTGTTATAAAGATTCTTTTATCATTGCAATGACTTGGAAATTAGGCACTTTCTTGCTCCCAATGTCTTACGTAGATGGTTAAAGGATGCATTATGACTTTTATTCAGTGTGATATGGGGTCAAGTTAAGTTTGAAATCCCATATTTTCTGTTAATGTGCATTGAATCTCCCAAATCTCTATAAAAGCATTTTCATTTCTTTGATCACATATGGAATTTTTGAAGGTCTGTTTATTGGCCCTACAAGAAGAATGTCAGGAGACAGAGAGGTTGTTGTTGTTGTTATTATTATTATTATTATTATTATTTTAGTTGTAGTTGGACACAATACCTTTAATTTATTTATTTATTTTTATGTGGTGCTGAGTATCAAACCCAGGGCCTCACAGTTGCAAAGTGAGCACTCTACCACTGAGCCCCAGCCACAGCCCCAGAGAGTTTTAATGATGGAGAAGATCCAGGATCCTATTCAAACCTTTACTCTTAACAGGCAAGTTATTTGCCTTCTTGCTTCTTGGCAAAAATCACACTCTGACCTGTCACTTCCCTTCCCAAAATACTATACTGCTTCCCATGTGTCTATAATACGGAGTTCTACCCATTGGCATGGTATATGGCTCCTCAAATAGTCCACCGCCATCCCACCTCCCCAGTTTCCTCTATTGCTATTCTGCATTGCTAGCAGAGGGAATATATTCTAAGGGAAAGAGTTTAATTTTGGAGCCAGGAAGACCTGGGTTAAGATCCTGGCATCAGTCATCACCTCTGATTCTGTGAACTTGTGAAGATTATTTAACAATCTGAGCCTCACTATTCTTCCCTGTAAGGGAATGGTAATTCTTCTGTCACAGAATCGTGAGCATTAAATGTACAATGCTGTGTGTAAACATGCAGACTAACAAAACTACCACAGGACACATTTTTTCCCAGTTTGCCAACAGGGCAGTATCAAGAAAACTTCTCAGTAAAGGCTATGCAGCAGTTCATACAAGTGACAGCTCACATACAAGAATCTGAGGACTCTTGCCTGCCTACGAGACACAGTTTTAGGTACAAATCACATGATCACATCAGGCAAGTGTAGTTGCTGCCCTGGCAGACAAAGTCTATAAGAACTCTTTGGCTAGTTTCTAGGGTTCCACAAGAGAATGCATTCAGGGAAGCTCAAAGCATGGCGTTCTTATTAGATCTTCATAGCACTTTCACAAATTCTTCCCAGTCCAGATGCAATTTACCAATCAAGGATCATTTTTACTGTAAGCTGTGTTGCCTAGCAATATATTTGATGCCTAGGATCTTACCTGGTTTCCAGGGTAACAGAACTAGGTGGTTAAACCAAAGATCAGATTCTCAAGCAGCAAAGGGAAGACTTTGTTAACCCTTTCATCCCAGTATGCAGTAGACCCAGCCAGAGGTCTCACACATTATAATTATCAAAATATGCTAGTTCATTCCATCAACAAATATTTAAGGAAATGTTTTGGGAGATAAGAATATAGTGGTAATGTAAAAAGATGCAGTGTCTGCCTTCATATCTTTTCTTCCATGATGCTGTATATTTCTTCCACTGTCTGTAGAACTTCTATATATCCATTAAAGGCCAGCTCAGATGTAATCTCTTTTCTAAAGCTCATATAAGTCTACTTTCCTAGCACTTTGTGCAAATTGCCCTGAATTCAAGGATTGGTTTTGGGTATCCTGAATGCCCTACATCAAATGCGGGTTATGTGTACATGTGAAAATGTATGTTTGAGGAAAGGGGCTAATGCTTTCATCAAATTTTCAAAGTAATCTATACAACCCTTCCCCACCCCCAAGAGTTTGGAGTCCCATCACTCTGTTATAAGCACGTTTTGCATGTGGCTTTGTTATTTGCTTATAGGTCTGTATTTCCTATTGGAATGTGAGTACCTTAAGAAAAAGGGCTGGATGTATTTGAATGACTGATTCACAGTATACTCAAGGAAATGCATGTTGAAAGAATCACTTCTCAATATCCTCCATATGCCCAGCAGCTTGAAGGATGCCAATGATGCAGCATACCCTAATTTGAAAGGGAAAGTTCTTCTTTACTTTAAACTAAAATCAGCCTTTCTTGTTTTTGCCTCTGTCCTCTAAAGTTATAAGTGAAATGTCTTCCCTCTCTTAAGTTGAATTGCCCTTTTGTGATACTTACAGTTGATTGGGAGACAAAAGAGAAGGTTAACATAAGGGAATTATTTAAAAAAAAAAAATATATATATATATATATACATACACATATATATATATATACACACACATACATATATATAAATTTAATTTAAATCGCAAATACACAATCACAGCTCAAATATTTTAACTTGAAACTTCTAAATATACATTAATTTACTAATGTTTTACTAGGGGAAGAAACTGCAGATAACCCCTGAACCAGATGATTAAGATTAATATCATCAATGAAAGTCATGTTGATATAATATACCCTGTGATATAATATAATGAGAAGGATACCTCACCTTCGTGGAATTCTTTCTACAAACCTATTATTCCACTGTAATCATAAGACAAGATCAAGCAAATTCACATGGAAAGATATTTTATAGAATGCCTGACAAGTACTATTGAAATATATCAAGATCTTGAAAAATGAAGATTGAGAAACTGTCACAGATTAGTGGAAAAACTGGTGTAATCCAGATTAAAGTCTGTAGTTCTGACATATCTATCATGGTTATATAAAATATTGACATTAGAGAAAGATGGGTACAGTATATATGGGAAGTATCTGTACCATCTTTGTAATTTTTTTATTAATCTAAAATTATTTCAGAAAAAAATTTATTAGAGTAATAGAAGAAATCACAGAAGAAAGTGTTAGGTGATTTAAAACTTAAGACATATAAACCAAATTAAAAGACAGTAATACTGAAAAGATATTTGTAACAAATGATAGACAAAGGGATAATAAAATAGTAGAATATATTTTAAAAATCAATAAGAACATACTATTGCTTCAATTGGAAAGTACTCTGATTGCAATTCACAGGAGAAATACAGTGGCCAGTCAATATAAAAACTAGTTCAGTCTCACTAGTAATTTAAGAGTTGTCAATAAAGCAGTATTGAAAATATTTTTACTTGTGCAAAGACAGAAAAAAATGATTCAAATAAGAAGAGGATAAGTGAAAGGATTATAAATTGGTACAAACTTTCTGAAAAGGAAGTCAACAAATGGGTATTAAGCTTAAAAATACGCATATCATTTGTGCTTATAGTCTTCCACTGATAAGATTTTTTTCCCCAAGGAATAATCAGACATGTACTGATTCATTACAGGGTTATTGATAATAAAGAACTCAAATCTTACATATCCAACAGCAAGGGAATGATCTATAAAGTTTTGACAAACCTATAGAATAGAATATTATAATCATTATGAATCATAGTATAACTAAATAAAACAAAAGCAAGATACAGTTTGTATGTATTCTCTGATCCCAGACAACGTGTGTATATACACAAATGTATCTCTTGAAAGGGTGGTGAAGAAATACACATCATGTTAAAAAGTAGTTACTTATCTTTGGGTAGTGAGAAAAGGATGAATTTTGTTTTCTTTATACCTCTTTGCATTTTCAAAATCATCCTAGAGTGAGTATATATTACTTTTATAATTGGGGGGAAATTGACATTGCAAGCATGTGGCTAATGAGTTTCTTTCATCTTTCATGCTGATTTAATTAAGAAAATGTTAGTTCCATTTTGTGCTGTGAAAAATTGTTTTTCCTCTTTCCACCAGGAAGCTTCTCAGGATTCTCCCACTGCCGAGTGAGAACTGGGGAGCTCTCATTGGAGAGTGGTGTTGTCATCCTGACCCCTTTGCTAATAAGCCACTTCACCCAAGAGAGAATGACTGTTTTATTGGAGATTCTTTCTTCTTGGTGAATATAAGAAATGATTTGTGGCAGGTAAGACCTGAACCATTCCCAGTTGAGATGTGCTTTTTTCTGTAATCATTTTAAATTGGTAAAATATCTTTTCACAGTCATGCTAACTTAGAGATTTGCTTAGATACCCATTTCCCCAATCTTCTCTTAATTCAAAGCCTGTTAAAGAAACCGTTCTAAAGGCTCAAATCCATTATTTTCAACTGCCTCTGTCCTCTAGCTCTGCTCTATTGATTTAAGAAGAGTCTTATGCAAAAGCACACACATGGGTTGGAGGAGCTGGAGAAGAGAGCTTCTTCATGCAGATTTAGGAATATTACCATTTTATAAACCAAATGCCTTACTTTCTTGTTTTGGATAATATTTCATAATCTGTGTGCATTTTAATCTCAATAGTCTGATTTAAATTAGAAGTGTACCAGGATATGTACCATACAATTAGATTCAGGGATTTCACTGAGTTTGCCCATAGTCTAGACTTCTGCTGATGTTATAAAAGCAGATTCCATCAAGGAAAAAGAGGAAAATGAAAGAGCTGGGGAATGGAAATCAGGCTTATGCTGTAGTGTTTAAGTTGGTGCTTAACAGCATGACATCAGAATGGCCCTTGCTAAATAATTTGCATTAGGAAGAAGACAGTTTCCTCTCATTGCAGAAAATGAGTGGTTTACTTTATTTTAAAAGAAAATCAGTAGCATTGACTTGGCCCTTGTGAGGAATCATTCCCCAATAGCCAGTCAATACAGATATGATTTAAAAAGTAAAGAAAACCATTGCTAGAGAATCTTCATTTCAACACCTGATTACTAGTAAGAACAAACACATTGTATTTTAAATTTCACTGCCTCATTTAATTTTTGTAATCAGAACTGACCTGCTACAGGAAACATATAACACTCAGACAACAACTCTCACATTATAAATTAGTTTATAGAACTATTTTGAAGGAAATTTGTCAAATATCCAGATTAAGTTGTTGTCAGTTATAAGTTATTAAATGCCTCATGTCTCATCACAAAAAGAAATCCCTTTATGTAAATATGGTTTGCTTTAAATTGAAGCACTTTAACATTCTGTAGTTTTAAGAGATAAATGGTATGAAGTTAATATGTTATACTTACATTTAAGATGATTCTATTAAATTTATGTTTTACTCTAAATATACTTACTTATTTTACATGTTTTTCATTTTTATGAATAAACTCTACATCTTAAAAATATTTAGAAGGGGTGAATGGAAAAAGAGTGGAGAAAGATTAAATAAGAGAAGGCATGTTTCCCTTTTTAGATACTCTTTATTCTGTGCTGAGATATGTTCTTCACATTTACATTCTCGTCAGTTATGTGATGCCACTTACAAGTATTTCTCTTCATTGTAAACAGCTATCTTATAAATTGAAAGAAGATTCTTCATATTTAGACACTACAGGTTTTGTTATCAAGGACAGTATGGGAAATTACTATCATAACAAGCTGCAGTTGACAAGATTGTTTTCAAGTTGGTCTGGATGGAAGTTTCTCTTTAATTGCATATTGTAGCAGTTGAAAGAGTGTGCCTGTGACCAAAATAGTAACATAAATTTAGAGAGACTGCTTAAACAGTGCTCTCAAGGCTCCTCTGGGAACAAGGCTGCTCTGTGCTATTGAAAACCTATTTCTCATATCACCCAGTCTAGCCATCTAGCAGGGGTTTGAAATGTCACATGGTGATACAGCATCCTAATGGTATCTCTTGGGAAACATTTTTTTGGGGGAGACAATATCAAGGGTCCTTAGAAATTGAAACAATACAAAGGAAAATAAAAACGAGGATAGGAGGCTAATCCACCTCTCTGAGCAGCACTGCCATCTCTCAGATATATTGATTTAATTAGTCCCCAACAATGTCTTTCTTTGAGGTTTGCTCTGTAGAGTTCCCACACTGTTAGGCTGTTTTATTACTCAACTTGCTTTATTATTTCCTTGAAGCGTAGATCAAGAAAAATGCATTACAAAGCAGAGATTCTCTTTAAACAAAATTAACATGCTAGAAAATCTTAATTAAAAAGATCTGATTTTAAAAACAGCACATAGAGCCCAACATTATTTTGTTCCTTCAGCACTCTCTTAGAGTTTACAGAATCTTATTTGTGCCTCCACTGCTGTGGCAGGATGTGCTTCTTATTTTCAAACAATTTCTGCTGAAGATTCCCCTATTCCTGCAGCTTGGTTGTCATCTCTTGTACATTTTTCCCATGTACCAACATACTATCAGTTTTGTCTGTTGGAATAGGAGGACAAAGATGGCATCTCCACCATTTATAAAATTCATATTATTTAAAACTTTGAAAATATGAGCCAGTATAGCCAGTATGTGGTAGCTCACTCCTATCTGTAGTCCCAGGCATAAGGGAGGCTGAAGCAAGAGGATCACTTAAGTCCAGGAGTTCAAGAGTTCAAGGCCAGATTGGGCAACATAGTAAGAGGCCATCTCAAAAAAAAAAAAAAAAGTATAGCCAGACTTATAACTTCATTCTGTTTAATAAAAAAAATAAAAGCAGCATTGAACTTTGATTATACTATTACTGATAAGTATGACCAACAACTTTATCTTTTTATTCATTCTTGGGGTACTGAATAATAATTTATTGGTTTGGGTAATTTGTTTTATTAAATTCATAAGTGAATCTTTTGTTTTCTTAGAAAAAATATGTTGGTGAATGACGCAGCAAAATAACGGGGGGCGGGGGGTGGCGACGAGGAACTTGTGTACATTGATACAGCAGGAGTGGGAGCCGTTTATTGTAGGACAGGAGCGGTATATGTACATTCCACATAGCTTATCTTAATTAACATAAACTAGATATAGCAGTCAACCAATAAGGAATCTCCACACTTAATGGCTCCCTGGCATTACTTCACAAACCACTCCCTCTGGCAAAATGCCAGGCGCCATCCAGACTTGTTTACAGACTGTAACATTTGCCAGGCCCCATCCTGACTTGTTTACAGACCCTAACAGGTGAAGTTTGTAAACATTCACAAGGATAAAAAGAATAATATTATGACCTTCAATATGCCAATTGTCTTGATTTAAAAAGTGGGGTTTTTTTGTTTTGCTAAAGTGTTTTTAAAGCAAAATCCAGTATTATGTTTCAGAATGTATGTCTAAAAATACAGATTTTTTTTTTTTACAAAACCTTACTGTCATTATCACACCTAATAATAATAAATGATAGAATATCAGGCCCTGACAAAATTTCTTAATTGCCTTAAGAGTATCTTTTATGCTGGGCATGGTAGCATATGCCTGTAATCCTAGCAGCTCTGAAGGCTGAGGCAGGAGGATCTCGAATTCAAAGCCATACTCGGCAACACCAAGGCGCTGAGCAGCTCAGTGAGACCTTGTCTCTAAATTAAATACAAAATAGGGCTGGGGATGTGGCTCGGTGATCAAGTTCCCCTGAGTTAAATCCCTAATACTCTGTTCTCTGCAAAAGCATCTTTTACTATAGGTTTATTTGAATGAAGATCCATTAATTTGGTTGTTTGAGCTAATTTGCTTGTTATTGATCAGATTTTTTTTTTTTTTTTTTTGCTTATGTGTGGTACTATATATTAAATACAGAGGCTCTCTACTACTAAGCCACACCCCCAACCCTTTTTATTTTATTTTGAGATAGGATCTTGCTAAATTATGAAGGCTGGCCTCAGACTTGCAATCGTCCTGCTTCAGCCTTCCAAATCACTGGGATTATAAGGATTTCAGGCATGCACCACCACACCCAGCTAGTTGTTGATCAGATTTTAAGATTCTGATCACTCATGTCTGATAAGGGTAGAATCTTATTTTAAAAACAAACACCCAAAGAATAAAACACTTTGCCTACTCACTTGAAAGACAATGAGAAATATTATGTGAAAACAATTATAGATGAACTGCATAATAAAGCACCTGACAGTTTTCTGCTTTGAATAGAAAAATTCTTTCTTCACAAACTTTGCTGTACCAATACCTGATATTAGGTTTTAGTAAAATGCTTACATTTTTTGATAAGATTTAATGAAAATGGTCAAATTCCACCTGTATAAAATAACATCCTTTAAAAATTATTTTCAGCACCTCTTTGGAACTGTATAGATAGATCTTATTGTAAAAAGCATGAAACTGCCAGAAGGTCTACCCTTACAATTGAGCATACTGGCTATCAGGGCTCTCTTCCTGGAACTGAGCAAACTGGTACCTTCCTTTGTTTCTGTCTGTTCCTCAGAACAGACAGAATTTGTCTCAATGACACTATCCCATCACTCATCTTGGCCAGACTCTGCTTCTGCTATGTGCAATGTGCTGGATGCAAGGTTATCAGTGTCCTGGCCAGGGATGGTACTGTCCCTGGGCCCCACCTGGTGTACCTTGATAAATGTTTGAGCCAGGTGTGAGCTGATTTAAAGAGTTCATATTTGCTTGTTTCCTCAGCAGAGACTTTTAGAGAAAGACCAGAGAATCTGTGCAAATCCTGTGGCTAGACCGGGGAAAAATAGGATATGTTTTTATATTATCGTAGATTTCTTCAGCATATGAAAGGATTCATCTCAGGAATCATTGATATGGAAAAGAGCTGGGGAGTATTTATGGATTTTCACTATAACATGGATTTGAGGCTGGGTAAAAGAGTGAGTCAGACATATGGACCCCAGTATAAGTTGTACAATTGCTTTTGACTATTTGATTTTTAACTAAAGTAAGAGATATATTTTTACATCAATGTCTGATCATATATACATTCATGCACACACACACACACACACATACACACACATGCATGTGTACACTATATAAACACACTACAAGTAAAAATTTCTTGAAGTAATACCTACCTGATGTTTGAAGCAGTCATGCTTTCTATTCAGTATTTTTAAAGACAAGCCCTAACCCATGGAATTAATTCCATGAATTGATTCCCACTAATGACATATGACCTGTAGTTTGGAAAACACTGAGCATAGTGCTTAAAAGCATAAGCTTTTTATCTTATTCAAGCATAAACTCTCTCAGTTACTAGCAGCTTGTCTATGGAACTAAATTTAAATGTGCATCTTATGCAACTTGTCAGGAAATATTCATTTATATCAAGGAAAATTACTTGTACTCAAATTTATACTGATCCACTAACTTATTCCATTAATTAATACATATGTTATTCCATATCAGAGAGCCACTGCCCTTCTCACTTCACCCTACACTGTTCTGCAGTTTTCCAGAAGGGATGACCTTATGTCCAGAGTTGCAGAGTTCTTTTTCCTTGACCATTTCTTCATGATGTGTGCCATGCTGCAGTATATCTGGGTGGGAGGGATGTTGTATGGCTTTAACAGAGCTATTACTATGTATTTGAAAGGAAGCATTCTTTGTTTACAAATTTGGTGAATGCAAGCTAATTAACATGTATCCTACATAATGAATTTGAATTTTTGAAGTCTAAGAAGTTTTGAAGTCTAAGAAGTTTTGAAATCTAAGAATGCTCCAGGAATTTGTCTCAATAACACTATTCATCCTTCTGTTTATAGTGCATATCTTAAATGGAAAAAAAATAGAATTTTATGAACAAGTTAGATAATTTTAACTTCTGAATTATGGGAGGCTATAAATTATAGGTTACTTACACATAAATTACACTCGATTAGGAGTCAAAACAATATGAGTTCAAATTCTGATTCTTCTGTATTCTATACACATGAGTGGGGGCAAGTCATTAACTCTCTCTGCCTTTGTTGCCCACCATCTGCCCATTTCAAATTATGGCTATTTGGAAATAGTTTTTAGAAATGTAAAGTGCTTCTTGTTCAGATTATTGGCAACATTTGGATTATCAAGAAGTGGCTAGGTTTGAAAAAGCCAATGTGTGCATTCTATCTTAAGGCAGAAAAAGGAAATTATCTCTGTGCATGTGAATTATGCACACAAGCTAAATGCATTCCCAGTATTTAGTAGAGGGCAGCATAAAATGTAAAGTTCAATGTATACTCTGGGGACTATGTTAAAATTATATATTCCTTTTAAGGAAAGCTGAATGACATTTAAATGACATTTTTTTGTTGTACAGGAACCAAAAGCAAATACCAAAGTAATTTGTAAGCGTTGCAAGGTAATGTTGGGAGAGATCATGTCATCAGGTAAGAATTTCACAAACAAGAAGCCAAAATGATTGCCTTCTTTTTTAAAAGCCAGAAGGAGATTTTATAAAAAATACATAGAAAAGATACATGGATAATAATATATTTTATAGAATTGGTGCTTTTTAAAATAGAAAACAATTAACATATCATCCAATATGTATAGAAGTTTGTATATTTTATGTGCATATTGTATTGACTTTTAAGCATTGAGAAGCTGGGTCATTTTCAATGTTTCTTATCTTATTTGTAGTATAAAGCAATAGTACAAAGTTTGTACTTGGATCTATCTTAAAGAAGTTGGATCCCTCTCCTCAGTACAACCTGACAGTTAGAAGAGTTGGAGAAGTTACTTTTCTTGGCTGCCATCTGCCTCAAGGCTGTATTTTGGGGCTGGAGGTGGGAGAGGACATATTGAAATTGAAGAAACCACATTCTGAGTTTTATACTTTGTTCCTTATTCTTTTTTCCCAATGGTGTTAATTATATTTTATGTAAACTCTATGTTATACTACTTTAAATATAATAATAAAAATCCTGATAATTAAAATGCTGTTTAAAGATATGGTTTAAAATGTGTAGAGAGCTACAACATGCTGTGTTAGCTTTGCAGGTGAGGAATAATCACTTTTAATATAATTAGTTAGAAGATATAATGTAAGTGAAGCTATTGTACTTAAAGGAAAGCAGATGGTGCTATATTTTGTTTGTTTAAATCATCAGAGTCTTTTAAGTAATTACTTGTTCAAAGTGAGCAGAAAAGGATGCTATCCTCAAAGTCATTTTTGGAGAATGAAAACAAGCCCCACAAGAAACTCCTTAGAAAACTTAAGGTTTCCAATTTAAGGTTTTTCAATAAGATGAATTGATTTTTAAATTCTTTTCTTTCCTCCCTGAGGTCCAGTTAAAACGACAGTTTAGGAATACAAAGATGTATGTATACAAAGACGAAGAGAAATGGAGAGGAAATGATAGTAATATAAATAGGACATAGAAGCAAATTATTTAGGAGCATGCTTGGCGGTTCCTCAACTACAAGGATCGTGGAGTGCCCTAGTAGTGGAGGGAGAAAAGGGAAATAATATCACTGAGAAACTTTACAACAATAAGGATGAAGTTTCCAGAAGGGGAAAAGCAGTTAGTGTATAATATATTAGGAATTAGGAAAGCATGGAAGTTTTTAAAAGTAGAGCTGAAAGTTAGAAGACAATCAAGCAATGTCTTCCTAATTTGAGGGGGAAAAAGTTCACCCTGGAATGCTCTACAAAATCAAATCATCAGTCAGATGTGAAGATTATTTATTTATTATCTTTTTATTTTATTTATTTATTTTATTTTATTATATATTTTGGAAATAATAAGGTTTCAAAACAGACTTAAAAGGTATATTTTCCTTAGAAATCTATCATTCCTATGGGGGAAAAAAATGAGGGATTCAACCTAGAAAGGGATGACATGAGTTTGGGGAAATAGGCTATCCAATATAGAGGAACAAGGTAAGAAAGGCCTTGAGATGTATAGCTGTACCACAGAAAAACAGCCTGATTGAAGTGAGGAGAGAGAGAGGATTGTAATAAAGACTTTTCCCATCATAAATAAAATTTTCCGCATGTAACAAAGTAATGTTGATATTATTGAGACAAACCATTTCATTATATGGGAAGAATTACCTAAAGTTGCTTGGAAAACTAAACAAATGAAAATTATTTACTACAGTAAAAACACAAGGTAGAATAAGAAAGGAAAACTTGCCAGGATATCATTTCTGGTCATAATAATGTAAATACTGGGTATTCATTTAACCATACATTATGATGTAATTCATAAGTATATCAGAATATCAGAATATATGAGTGTGTGTATATGGGGTGGTTTAATAGAACTACATCCACATCAACTCAAAATCAATAGAATTACACTTCCCAAAATGGTGGTGGTAAGAGGATGGACAAATCTGTACCACAAAAAGCAAGCACAAACTGAACAAGTTAAACAAATTATTAAATATCAATATTATGGCACTGGAAAATGAACGAAGTGAAACAACAATTTGAGAAGTGTTTAGTCATGAAAAAATACTACTGCATTGGGAAAGAATGGCAAGTTTGTGATCTTTTTGCCCACAGAGTAGGCCTTGCTGTCTCTTGCCTCCAGAACTTGGGCAGAGAAATCCTACAAATGTATTGTTTACAGGTGTTGAGTTCAATTCAGGGTAGGTGACAGAGAAAGTAGAAATTTAAGGGGGGGATATTTTGGAATCGAATGTATGAAATATGATATGTCAAGAGTTTTGTAATGTTTTGAATAACCAATAAAAAAATACAAAAAAAAAAAAGGTGATAGAAGGGCCAATACAATAACTTCTTCATACAAGTCTGGCTGACTACTGAACTCTGCATACAATAGATGCCAGGAAGTATTTATTGCGTGTATTTTCAATAAGAATTGAAAACTTAGACCTGTGAATTTGCTGTGCCTTTGATTGCATTCCTTAATCCACAAACAACCTGAGCAACAGAAAGCACTTTTTTCTGAGACACCTTAGTGGCAGTGGATACTCTAGAGAGCCAGACTAAACAAAATAAAACTTAGCAGTGACATTAGCAGCTACAAACTGTGGGGCAGGGGGAACATATTTCACAGTAAGTTCAGGCCAGTTAATTGATCACTAAACCATTAAACCAACAATCCTCAGAAGAACAAAACAAAATTCAGAGCTGCTACAACATATTACATACATTTTCTTGCTTCTGTCTACAAATTATGATATATGCAAAGAAATAGGAAAGTGATTCATACTGAAGGAACAAAAAAGGATTGCATAGACTGAGTAAATACAAATGTTGTATTTAGCAGAATAATATGTTGAAGTAGCTATATAAATATGGTAAGGAATTAAAAGAGAAAAGTCCTTGAATGAACAAATAGCAAATATCAACAAGTTGGAAACTTCAAAGAAAAAGCAAATTGGTAATTTTAAAATTGAAATGTGTAATAACTGAAACTACAATTCACTAGATGATCTAAACCACAGATTTGAGACAACAGAAGATAAAAAAATTATTGAACTTGTAGATTAATACTCATTAACCAGTCCAAAGGAAAAATTCTGAATATAACCTTAGATCTGTGGGACAATATCAAGTGTTACAACAAGTGTATAAGTGGAGTCTCAGAAGGTAAGGAGAAAAAGAAAGGGTCAGAAAAATAATTACAGAAAAAACTGGCTTAAATCTTGGCAAATCTGGTGAAAAATATTAACTCTGGGATCTAAGAATTTCGGTGAACCCCAAGCAGCGAAACTTCTGATAATTAATGAGGAAGAGAGAATCTTGAAATTTGACAGGAGCAAAACAAAACATCATAAATAGGGATTTCATGATACAATTAAGGTGGACGTCTCCTAAAAATCATGGTCTCCAAAAAACATCAAAATAAATATGCAAAGTGCTAGGGTAAAAAGACTGTCAACTGGCTGGGTGTAATGATGCATGCCTGTAATCCCAGAGGTTTTGGAAGCTGAGGCAGGAGGATCAAGAGTTCAAAGGCAGCCTCAACAATGGCAAGGTGCTAAGCAACGCAGTGAGACCCTGTCCCTAATACAATATTTTTTTAAAATAAGGTCTGGCATGTGGCTCAGGGGTCAAGTGCCCTGAGTTCAATCCCTGGTACCCCTCCCACCAAAAGAAGACTGTCAGCCAACCATATTGTATCCAGCAAAAGTGTCTTTAAAAAATAAAGATGAGCCTGGATAAAACATGTGAAATAATGTGTTACAAACAGACCTTAAAGGAAATTCTTCAGGCTGAAGCAAAAGGTACCAGATGGTAACTAGAATACTCAAGAAGGAAAAAAGAGCAGGGGAAGTGGAAAATATAAGGATAAATTACCACAAAAGCAGATTCAAAAAAGGTACACACAAAGTCACATTTTTCTGCAGTTTGCCTGTTTTCTATAATTAGAACTTTTGTTTTGATTGCTTTGAGAAGGAAGGACAGAAATGAAAGACTACACAAGATGGGAAATTTAATGGGTGATTGTCTCTACAAAAACATGAGATTCTAAAGACCATCCCCTCACAGTGAAGTGAGTTAGAAGGGGAACAGTCCTGTAGAATTATAAATAGGTATCAATTCCTGGGGTTTTTAGGGAATTTCAAATCTTGAATTCAGTGTGTTCTGACAGAATAGCAGGTACCTGGCAAAATCAAATGCATATCACTTCTGGAGGGAAACACTTTCATTGGAAAAAATAGCGTTATTCTCACAAATAATTTTTCAAGTACAGTGTTCAACATATAACCAGAGATAAATATGGACACAAGTTAGCTAGACTTCTATCAGTAAGAACTAACAAATATATCAGACAATGGAAATAAGCTTTTACTGGAATGATCATAAGCAAAATATAAAAGAATACTGCTTAGTATAATTAACAATGTAAAAGACATATTTAAAGACAGTGCAATGAAAAAGCAAACAATAACAGTATGTATCTTTGAAGAGGAGCCACAATGGAATTTCTAAAAACATGCTGTATTATAATTGAAAATTCAGAGACTGGTTTAATAGCAAAGCAGGTACAACTTGGAAAGAATTAATGGACAGAAGATGGATGAAAATCTACCTTCCAGACAGAGGAAAAGAGTGAAATACAGGCAATATTTGAACAGTTGAGAATTTTGTAAAAGTAAACAACAATCTACAGATTCAAGAGGCACAATGAATTCCAATTCAGTGAGGCCCAAGTAAGAAATGAAAAGAAATCTATACCTAGATACATCCCAGTAATACTGGAGAATGAAAAGCCAAGAGAAAATCTTAAAAGCAACCAAAGAAAAATGACAGATAACCTTCAAACAAGCACCAGTAATGGAAATTCGAAGACAGTGGAATGATATTGTCAATGTGCACAAAGCAATAACCGTTAACTCTAGGACTTTATATCAAGTGAAAGTATCCTTCAACAAAGAAGGCAAAGATAAATATGTTTTCTGAAAGACAAAAACTAGGATAATTTACCACTAGTGACTTCTTGGTAAGAAAAATTCTACCTGTAGGCAGGTAGAAGAAAATGACCCCAGATTATTCAAGAAAGATTGGTAAGAAATCATGAAATGAATATTAACTGTATAGAACAACATGAAATTAATATTAACTGTATAGAACAACAACAATAGTAACTGGGATTTATATATATAATAATAAGTAAAGCATTTTAAATTTTTTTGCCCTTTTGTTATATTGAGCAATTGGAACTTCTTAAAAAAATTACTAGGAATAACTTGACTTATTAAAGTCATTAATTATTTAATTTGGCCTATTTAAAACATGCATGTAATTCTGTTGCCAAATATACAATTATTTAATTCATCCTTAACTTTTAGACATTTTAATTTGTTTTCAGCATTTTTCTACTAATATTATTATGATCATCTTTATAGATAAATTTTTACATATTTTATTGATATTTCTTTAAGATACTTTTTTTTTGGTACTAGGGATTGAACAGATGAACCCCTGGGTGCTTTACCACTGAGCTACATCCCCAGATTTTTTTATTCTTTTTTTTGAGACAAAGTTGTGCTAAGTTGCTAAGGATCTTGCTAAATTGCTGAGGCTGCCCTTGAACTTGTGATCCTCCAGCCTCCCCATTGCTGAGATTACAGGTGTTTGCCATCACACCCAGCTAAAATAATTCTTAAGTATTTAATTATGGTGTCAAATATATATACAAAAGTTTAGGCCTTTTGCTTCTAAGAAATCTATCATCTTTAGTTATGATAGCATATCCATTTCTTATAAGCCCATCTGTTACTACACCTTATCATTTAAAACAGTTTGATGCTAAAAAATACTTGTTTTGATGTGGATGTCCCTTTTTAATAAAACATTTTTAATGGATTTTCTAAAGCAACCCCAAATGGTTATTGAATATCTGGCCTACTGTTTACATAAACTAAGTAATCAGATAAACAGCTTTGGTGAGAACGGTACATGGATAGAGTCAGTGACATTCTGGGTAAATACTGGTATCAGGATTATAGCATCTGTGCATGGGCTTTTGGATTCTACAACTGAAAAGCCTTTTTCACTGCCTTTCAGATTTGTGGCTATTCAGTAGAAATGAGGAAATCCAATGCCTAATTTTTATGTAAATGGGCTAAAACTGTGATGTGACTAATTTTTATAACCTTTTGTATGTGTAAACTGTTTTGCTGCTACAGATTCACATTTGAGCATGACATTCTAAACAGACACTGTGCTGTTTGATCTCAGAAATATCTTCTTGTAGTTATCAGTGTTTTTTCTATTGATACAAAATCATTTTGGAAAAATGTTTACTGAATGGTCATAATTGAATATTTAGTTTGGAATGTCATAATTTGGGACCAACACACCCACAATAAAAATATTAATATATTGGGAAGATTCTTAACTTTCTTTCTTTTTTTTTTTTGTTTCTAGAAACCACTAAGTTTTATATGACAGAGATAATTATTCAACCATCTGAGAGTTTTCCTATCATACCAAGGTACAAACAGCAAATTAAATTTATTACGTAATTTTGTAGGTATAATTGATTAAGAATTCATTTTTATTCATAATTTTTTTTTAATTTGGAAAGGGGAAATGCCTTAGAGAAAAGTTTTGAAATACTTTAGCCCAACTACACATATAAACAATTTGAGGTTTTATTTCTTTATGTTTTGCTTATATGGTGTATGTAAATATGTTCATATAAATCTTCTAATTCTGAAAGTTTTTTGTGCTTCTTTCTATGTGCCAGAGATTCAGAATTTTATAACATAATCATCAATCTTTTGTTTTTTTGATTTTTATTTGTTTGTTTTAGGTACTGGACATTGAACTCAGGGGTGCTTTATCACAGAATGAAATCTCCAACCTTTTTTATTTTTTTTATTTATATGTGACAGTGCAATGCATTACAATTTTTATTACACATATAGAGCACTATTTTTCATATCTCTGATTGTATACAAAGTATATTCACACCAACTCGTGTCTTCATACCTGTACTTTGGATAATGATGATCATTACATTCCACCATCATTAATAACCCCATTGTCCCTTCCTTTCCCTCCAACCCCTCTGCCTTATCTAGAGTTCCTCTATTCCTCCCATGCTCCCCCTCCCTATCCCACTATGAATCAGCCTCCTTATATCACAGAAAACATTTGGCATTTGGTTTTTTGGGATTGTCTAACTTCACTTAGCATTATCTTCTCTGACTCCATCCATTTACCTGCAAATCCTTTTTATTTATTTTTTATTTTTTAATATTTTATTTTTTTAGTTGTACACAATATCTTTATTTATTTATTTTTTTATGTGGTGCTGAGGATCGAACCCAGGGCCTCGCATGTGCTAGGCGAGTGCTCTACCACTGAGCCACAACCCCAGCCCTCCTTTTTATTTTTTATTATGAGACAGGGTCTCACTAAGTTGCTTAGAGCCTTGCTAAATTGCTGAGGTTGGCTTTGAACTTGCAATACTCCTGTCTCAGCCCCAAATTGCTGAGATTACAAGCCTGTGCTACACACCGGCATCAATGGGTTTTTGAAAAATTATTTCTGGTTTTCATTTGACCTATTTAAAATTTGAAACATAGATCCATTTCAAATTATTTCTGTGTTTCAAAATAAAAGATCTTCAGCCTCTAAATCTATTAATTTTTCTTTTCTTTTAATCTTTTCCGGTTTGCAAACAAAAGTTAACCATAGACAGTCTTTAGTATATCTATGATATCCAAAAATTATGGCAACCTGAAAATAAACTTGTATTTTATCATTCTATAAATATTTTCTGAACCATAGAGCTGTCACTTTAAGGAGATCTAAATGAAAAAAGAAAATGCAGATTATACAATGTTTGGAAGGAAATTTCTCACATTCTTTTGTAACCTAGCTATCCACTATTTAATGTGTATATCATCAATGGAATATCTACTATCACTAACATGGTATTTTTTTATTCAATAGAGAGGAATCGGTAGCTTTGGGTGGCAACTGTATTACTAATTGGAGAATAGATTTTAAGAAGAATGGAGCAAACATAAATACACTAAAATCCACATTACCACAGATTGTGAGGGAAGGGGCAGTGGATAGAAAAGTCGGGGATGCTGATGTTTCTGCCTTTTAGGTACCCTATATGTAATTTTGGCTTATCTTACTAGAGTTATTATGAGAGTCACTGTACTTTGGATAATAATTGATTTCTGTTCAAACAGGTCTCAGTTTGTCCAGAGTGTTATTGCCCAGTGTCTGGTGGAACTCTCCTCTGCTAGAAGCACTTTTAGATTCACTATTCAAGATCAGGATGGCAAAGTGTACATCTTGGTAAGAAATCATTCTGTCCAGTTTTTTTGTAGCCTAGTAATCCAAGATCTCAGAAAATTTCTCTTTTGTTTTTATTTTTTCTTAGTTCATAGGTCTAGAAGTTAAGTGATCAAGAATTGAATATTTAATATCAGCTTAATTCATAAGTCAACCTTCCTTAACTTTATGACAAATGATTGGGTACTTCCATGTATTAGGTTCTAGGGATACAGAAGGAAAGAAAACCTAATTCCTTCCCCTAAGTAGCTCATACACAAAATAAGTGTTTTCACTCTGTTTTTAATGGTCAGTATAATACCATTCTGTCTGTATTTCTTTTTCTTTCTATTTGATACTTTTTTTCCCCTTACTGGGCTATTTGATACTCTTAACTTTAAAATATGTTTTATTGCTTCTGTTATTTTTTAATTACCTCTGACATCTTGATGTTTGAGAAAGTGGCAAGTTTGGGAGAAAAGGCTCTGTGGTTAGCACTCATCCCTTACGTATACCACAAGGGTCTAATATTACACTACCTCTATTAAAAATAATGCTTTGCAGAAATGAATCTGGGGCATTTATCTGAAAACCAAAGCATCATGGACCAAGTCTCCTCTGTCTGTACATCTGTTTTATTCAACCAGTTAATATACATGAAACACTTCTTATTTGAAAGGCACTGTTCTAGGTGCTTAAGGTAGAACAAGAATGCCTTGGCCTGGGGTAGAGTTATGTATGGTTTTGCTGCTGGCCATCCATTTTGGGAACTCTGTGCTTCTCTACTTCCAGAGAACTTCTGTGGCAGGCTAATACATTTTCCAACTTCAGTTGATATTAAATCATAAATACATAAATAACAATGTAATTGTAACTTCATAGTCAAAGTCTGAACAGAAGTTTAGTTTTCTTTTCTTGTAAGATTTTTAAGTTGAACATCAGGAGTAGGAACTTTAAAATTTTTCTAATAGATATTTAAATTTTTAAAAATTTCCTTTTTATGGAAATAATACATTCTTGAAACACATTCAGACAACATAAAGAACATAAAGAAATGTTAGCTTCCCCATTTGTCCCCTCTCCTCCCCATCACATAGTGCTTTCTAGAGGTAATTTATCTTAATAGTCTGATGTGTGAACGTTAATATTTTTCTATCCATATACAACTTTTGTTTATGAAAGTGAAACAGTATGACATGATCAGAATATTTTTTGTAACATGCTTTCTTCTCATAACAATAGATCATTAAGGATTATTTTTTGTTAGTGTAAGTGTAGGTCTTACTCTTTAATAACTGAGTTCCATTGTACAATTATAAAAGACATGCTACAAAAAATCTTTGCACATGCATTTTAGTGCTTCTTTAGAAATGAATCTTTCTACTCTAATACAGCATTGGATTTATATGATATAAACTCAGATGGTAATCACCTTGTAAAACATTGTACTATTATTGTTCTTTTACAATGGATGTTCTTGGTGCCCCACTTAGATCTGGTTGACTGTGTTGCTACACCCATTCCCAGCTGCTGACAGTGTTGGATGCCAATAGTTCATAGATGTTCCCTTTTCCAGAAACTTGCCTTGGGTAATGATGTTGACTTTCTGAGGAGGTTTCCTTTTCTTACTGTCCCATATCCATTCCTGCCCTGGTCAGCCTGTCAGTGATTTGAATCTGGGCCACAAAAAGCTGAGGCCTTGGCCTCAAGGTGGGGCCAATTTTGTAGGTATAATTCAAGCTCAGGATCTCCCCATGGATCAGGCTGAAGCCCAACTCCTGCTGAGCTTGTATTCTGCATCCTTGCAGGTCTTTCCCTCATATTTTCCCGTTCTCCTGAAAGTATCTCAGTGAATCACATACCTCTGCATCCCCAAACACTCCTCCATTAGCACTTAGGGAATACTCATTCCAAAACCATTCTGAGATGGATGTTTCCAATCTTTTTACAATATTTTTTTAATCTAATCTCATAGGTAAAAAATAGTGGCATTGAAATTTTGCATTTCCTTATTATTAGTCCTATTGACGTTTTAATTTTCATTTATTACATTCCTTGTTAATTTGGTTACTATTCTTTGCCTATTTTTCTATTGGGCTATTTTTTGCCCCTTACTTATTTCCAGAAGCTACACATTTATAGATTATAGATAGTTACATTGTTATTTACATATTGAATATTTTCTCCTCATTAGTTGTCTTTTTTTTTTAACTTTATGATGTTGGTTGCACTATTAAATATCGTGCTTTGAAAAGCCTACCTTATTTTGAAATTATGTGATTGGTTCCCCTCTATTTTTTTTGAATAGGTTTTTTTTTCTTTTTAATAGTAGCTTAAAATACAAATAGGGTGGCAATATCCTCATAAGTGGATTTTTCTCTTCACACCTTTAGCTCTGGCTTTTAAACTCAGACAGTGTGGTGATTGAATCTTTGAGTTCCGACCATATCAAAAAGTTCCCCCTTTTGGAAGATACATTAAAAGCAGACTTCAGTTCTGCCTGGAATGCTATCAAGGTCCTCTACCAGCCATGCCTCAGAAGTGGAGATGAAAAGTGAGTTTTGCTTTTGTTTCCCACTCCACACTGTTATAGCTTCTGTTGTCATGTTGGTGTTAAAAAATTAATGAATTTAATGGTACTATACTGCTTCACTTCTTGAAATTTCTAGGAATCATGCTGCTAAATATGCTTTTAAAGTAGATTGAGTTATTACAGATGATTCATGCTAACATGCAGAAATCTTGCTTTTACTGAAAGTAATTGGTCTTTTCTTGTAATCTCAGCTGTCTGTATATAGACTACAGTACTAGATTAGGCTTCAACAATCATGAATACTTACTGGTAAGCACTTTCCAGTCATTCAGGATACAATAATAGACATAGTCCTTGCCTCAGGAGTTGTCATTCAAACGGGAGGAAGCAAACAATAAACAAAACCATCATCAACAAAAAGTCAAAGGCTTATATGGTTTTTTTGTGTGTGTCCATTACTCATCTAAACTCACCTGAGCTTACAGTTCTCTTAAGGCTAGACACAGCCCTGGGAGTTATCCCCCTTATAAAGATAAGGATACTAAGAAGTGGGTGGTATGTTATTCTAGTAAAAAAATAAATCAAGATAAGGAAGCAGTGAAGTGTTAGATGGGTATAGGCCATTGTCATTTTATATTGAAAAGTCAGGGACAGTTCCTCAGGAAAAAAAAATGATATTTAAGTGGAAAATCTGAAGGATGTGAAATGGTGAGCCATGGCCGAGGGTAGAGCGTTCCTAGTGAAGGTGTTACAGAGTGAGGGCCTTCCAAGAAACTGAGGCAACTCGAAGACCCTCTCATCAAACCCTGATTACTCATCAAATCCTGATTCTTGAAATCAAGTCAGCAAGATTTCAGACATGTTGCTTAGAGTAACAGGAATAAGTTTATTGAAGGCATAGGAAAAGGGAAAGGGGACACTCTCAAGGGAGAAAATGGGTCCTCTAAGAGAGGAGAGGGACCACATGCTTCTCCTGCACTCCAATTTTATTGGGGATCCCAGAGAAGTTTCCAGAGAGTCCCACCCAGGACAACCTTTTTGACTTTTGACTAACAGCAACAGGACATCAGACTTTCAAGTACCCATTGCTATGGCAACTCTATGTCACCTTGGGCCATACTGACTGGTTCTAACTGGATTCTTAACCAGGAAGAACTATCCTGTCTCCTAGAGTTTCAGGATCTGATCACAAAAGTCTGGGTTCCTCCCATCAACATCATCTTGGGTCTGCATATTTCCTGCAGTTAACAGGTAGTTTGCTGAGGAATGTGACATATCCTGTCCACTTAAGCCAGGCTGGACTGCAGGTAAATTACTTCTTGGAAAAGAAAGCATGTGGGGTAAGCACAGTGGGCCCATTTTATAGAATTATTCTCTTAACCTTGTGTTCCCACCATCCTTATCTGTCTGTTCCTTAGCAAAGGAAACAGCAAGTATTTTATTGTATGGATTGAAAGTTTATACTTGTTCTGTATTCTCAGATGGGTTTATCAAATTTCTGCTAGGAACAGAAAGATCCCAGTTTTTTTCTGGGAAATAAATAAGACATTTAAAACAATTACTGCTTTTCTTTCATCTTTTTTTTTTTTAATTAAGCAAGCAGTGCAAATCATAAGAGATTCAAATACTCAGAGACATGTAAACTAAAATGTGAAGTTCTTCATCATATCCCTCTCCAGATGTAAACTGTTGTGCAATCTTCCACATTGCTTACTATTCATTTTGCGTCTTAACAAAATCTAAATGATACATATGTTTTTTAAAAGAGCAAAACACTTTCTCTTGGAGATTCTTTACATATCAAGGCTTGACATTTTATGAAATGAGTATACTATAAATCACTTGACCATTTTACTATTGATTACTTTTTGCTGTTATAATTAGTGTTGGACTATGTACTGTTGTATATTTGTTTTATGATTATATGTAGGTTTTTTATAAGAGGGTTTTATAGAGGTACAATTGTTGGGTCAAAAGTTGTGCACATTTAAAATTTTTATAGATAATCTCAAGTTGTTTTGTAAAATGACAATGCAAATTTATAATCCCTCCTAATATTATCTTAAATTCCCATTTCCATACCCTCTTATCATTTAGGTTTTTCCCTATCTGATGTCAGTCTTAATGAAAGAGGTTTAATCTACTCTCTTTATGGTATTGAGGTACACTCAGAGAATATGATTTGTGTTCTATGCTTTTCAGACTTTTTGGGAGGCCTAAGACATGGTTAACTTTTAAACTGTTTATTAATTATATTCTCTGTTGGTGTGGGTGTGTGTGTGTGTGTGTGTGTGTGTGTGTGTGTGTATGTGTGCGCGCGCGCGCGCACGCCGTAATGTAGATTTATATAGTCAATTTTATTAAATCCTTTATATTCATCTTTACTACTTATTTGAAATGTAGACTTTTGAGAAAGGTATGTTAAATTTTACACTGATTATGGAAGTTGTTTTCTTCTCGTTTTTATATGTTTTTGTATTTTTTCTTTTGAAGTTAACTTAATAGATATTAAACGTTTGAAATGCTACAGTTTAACTGATTGCATATTTTGTTAATAGAAAATTTTGTTCCTTTTCCATTCGATGCAAAGTTCTTTCATTTAATTTTCTTTGTGTTAATACTGCTATATTTAATTTTAAAGAGATTATTGACTTGTTATAATTTTTTTTGCATTTCTTTATTTTCACCTGTTTTATGTCATTTTATCTTAGGTACATGTTTCATTATTATATGCTTTGTGAACTGCATGTCGCTGGACATTTTAAAACTCCAATGTGATTGCCTCTTTATCTTAATAGTGAATTTAATTATTTCACAATTATTGTGATTATTGAGATAATTGCACATGGTATGCTATGGGGTCATTTCCTTCCTCTGATGATTTGGAAATAAAAAGTAATTCCAAAATTATTTTTAATGGTTAAATTTAAATTTTTAATATACTTTACTATTTATATTTAGATTTAATATCCCTACTTTTCACTAGAACAAGAAGGACGTAAAGTTTCACATTTTTCCTCTGGCTTACTCTCTTTCCTACTCCCTTCCCTATGTCAACATCATCTGTGATTCTAATGAAGGGGACTGCATTTCTTCCTTCCTCTTTTCTAAGCCAAAGTCCTGTACCATATTTTTATAAAAATATGTAATGTTATTTTATGTATTTTAACATGATTTATAAATGATACTAAACTCCCATCTTTCTGCAATTGTTTTTTCATTCAATATTTTTGTTTCATTTTTTAATTTGATCAAGTATATTCTTCAATACATCTTTTAAACTTGGATTATAGTTAGTCCTTGAATATCTGAAAATTTCTTATACTTATTCTGACTTTGATGGTCTTCAGGATTTTCTCTGTATCTTTGATTTTCCTTTCTTATTTTTTTTCTTTCTCTCTCTCAGGTACTAGGGATTGAACTCAGGGGCACTGGACCACTGAGCCACATCCCCAGCCCTATTTTGTATTTTATTTAGAGACAGGGTCTCACTGAGTTGCTTAGTGCCTTGCTTTGCTGACGCTGGCTTTGAACTCTCAATCCTCCTGCCTCAGCCTCCTGAGCTGCTTGGATTATACACGTGCACCATCACATGTGGCTTATCTTTGGTGTTCTAGGATTTTATAAAGATGTGTCTAAATGTGAATGTTTGCTCAAAATTTTCTCATATCTATTTTTAAAGATACAATATGCTTTCAGTCTCTGTAAGAATAGTAATTATACTTAAATTCCTCTGTTTTCTCTATTAACTTTTTTTCCCTTGGGTGTTAGCTCTTTTTGAAAACAGAGATTGAGTTTAATGCTTCTTTTTTTCATAGCATTGCTCTTCCCACATGTTTGATGGGTTGACTAGAATTCTTGAACAAGGGTTTGAGCTCCATGCCAACTAGGACCGTGTCTGTCCTACTCACCATGAATATTTGTTAAAGAATTCAAAACATACAATTCGTGTTTATACAGTGGTACCTGATGTTCTACTTATTCTCTGATAATTATAATTCAGCTGTTGATGACTATGAGTTCTTGGTAGCGTAGCCTGTGCTTATGGATTAGTGAAAGATAACTCAAAGGATTTGCTGGTCTGGACTTGTCTGGACTTGTCTTTTTTCAACTTTTGGAATTAAAAAAGTGGAGGTAGTCACAGATTCAGTTATGGTGATAAATCTTGTATTAATTATATGTAGGATCTTTATACTGCCTTTCTTAAGGAGTATTAAAGGAACTTGGTGTACTTGGACCATATTTACTCATTCTGAACAAATTCCTATGATGCTAGAAATAGAGTGACATTAGTCAGCTGTGTTCTGTATTCCATTAGGCGACTTTTTTTTTTTTTTTTTAACTCCACGTGTCTTGGAAACAAGTTAGTGTCTAATGAATGAATTTACCTATTTATAAAATTACTTTTGTTGAAAAAAAAATTACTTTTGTTGTGCTTTTCCTCCTGCTACTTTTTGGCTCTGTGTGCCCCAAGGTAGGAAGAAAATTTTTCCAGTTGGATAAACGTGCTGTGAGTTATTTACTTTTGTCTTTTAAAGATATTAGTGTCTTCCTTTCTGGGGCATGACTGAGCAAACTTTAGACTCGTGGTATATTTTTGATTCATGGGGTGGTACATTAACTATTTTAGTCCAATTGGCTAGAATTTTTTTTTCTAGTGAAAGTGTGGATTGCCAGATGGTCGTCTAAATAAGGAAAATAGCAAATGTAACTATGGTTTTATTTCCTTGAGCACTCACAAAAAAAGTGGCATATAATATTTTTAGAGTGTTCTTTCTAGCAATTTTGCTCAACATTTTGAAGTATATTGTGTTTTTTTTAATCCCTTCCCTTCTTACTTCAGCCAGTGTTTCACATCTTAGTGAAACCAATGGTTTACGGTTTCATGTTTTATATTGGCAAAATAATCTATCTTATATCCCACATTCTTTTGTTTGTATATCAGAATTCAGATTCTATGTATTGACTCTCTAGCTTTGGACTCTAAATTATCTTCTGAAATTTATTTCTGCCATTTTGTC